GAGGGCGGAGTCAGTTACCATGGATACGCCACAGTCCAGAGACCACTGTGTCATCAAAGCACGACTCACTGCTGTCAGGTGACCTTGACTTGTGACTTTGACCTTGCCAGTTTGAGTTACAATATGCACCTCAAGGTTTCTTGTCAGAAGAATACTTTTTTTTAAAGTGAACTAATTTTTTGACAGGTTGCTGGGCTGCCTGTCATCCTACATTGGCCAGCCGCTGCCCACTTTACAGCCGGGTGAGACAGCACCAGTAGACAGCCTGGGACAGCTGCTATGCTTCCATCTGAGTGGGAAGTCTGCTGTCCAGCGAATGGTGGCAGCTCTGGTGGTTAGGAACTGGGCCCAGTTTCAACAGGTTCGGCAGTTCCTCTCTGAATTACTTAATTTTTAACCAGAACATTTCAAGGTACTGTTTTTGTATTATGAATCATCACAATTTTAGTATGATGTCTATGAATTAGATATTCCTTCCAAAACCCTCCGGACTTTCAAGCCACAAGTCTTTGATATTTTCCTTTTCCCACAGCAGCATACCCAGGACAGTTGCTGTCCGCAGCCTGTGAGACAGCGCTTACAGGAGGTGCTGACTGAGAACTTGTACTATGACGAGATCACCACACAGTTCACCACCATGCAGACTGAGTGCAGGGTCAGTCACTTAGTAATACTCTCAAAACTGTTTTGGGGTCAGGCGAAAGGTTTAACTGGTGGGTTTGTAGCTCATTGTCTGAATGGTTGATTATCTAGTTGATGCATTGTCCTTTCTCCAGTGTCACTGACAAAGGTAATTGATGCTACCTGAAACGTCAAACCGTTTCCAAAATCATATCCAGTTGCTTAAGTAACTGTTTTTGGCGTAACTGCTGACATTTCTCAACGCTTTGCAGGCGTTCCTGACAGCACTCCAGTCCTGTGGCTGTCCTGTAGACCCCATCACCAGACAGGGAGGTTTACTGACTGTAGAGCAGGCCTCAGCCCTGGCCAGGACCTCCTGTAGTCAGACTGTCATGCCAAGTCAGATGCAGGTGAGTGCAGGGGGTAGGAGAGAAAGACGGAAGTTCAACAAAAAAACATTAGTTGGATAAATTGATGGATGATCAGGGATCGAAATTCATTTTTTTGATTAGGTGCACTGGTGCACCTAACCAAAAAAATTAGGTGCACCAAAAAAATTTTGGGTGCACCACATATTTCCAGTAGTACATTAATAAGTTAAATATTACTAATATCAAATTAATATTGCAAACGTAAAGAATGCTAAAAATGATCGTAGCAAAGAGTAGGAAAATTGCATCGCTATAGGAAATAACACAGTAATGATCTTAACGAAAAAAGCAAATTAGGATTCCGAGATACGAAAAAAAAAATATTTTTAAAAAAATCTAGAAATGAAAAAAAAATCACACAAAGCCTCAGTCTTTTTGCACTAGACTCCTCGGTTGATTCGGTTTCGGAATCCGACTCTGATGACCCGGAACTGGACACGGAAGAAGCTCGGGAGGCCGTGGAGGAGGGCCCGGGAGTGTTGTCGAGAGCACATGGCCGCCCCCCTCCCCCTCTGTCTCGGCGCTCCCACGGCACGGTCTGTCGTCCGGGCGTGTTTCCCGTTGGTTTCCAGCTTCATCGCTTCCTTCTGGGTTTTGAAGAGCTTGGGCTGATGTTGTTGCCTCATCTCTTTCGTCGTCATCACGATCGGACCTCGGCTGAAGGAACCGTAGAAGCGAAGTCAGTCTCGACAAATTTGATTTGCTTTGTCATCCACGAATTTCATGGCCGAATTTTGTCGACACCCGGGTTTTGACGATGTGACCTCGAAGATTATCGAAGTCAAGCGAAAAATGCACGAAAACAACATTTTGTCACATGACATGCCCCCGAGGTAACTCCCAAAATGCGTCGGAAAGTTCCGGAAGCGAGTTCGCGATGTTTTGGTCACATGACTATCAAGAAACCGGGGAACGAGAAAGAAGAGATCTCTTGTCCCAGGGTGTCCAGTGTTGTAGTCGGGATCCGGAAGTTGGTGGGTAACGCGATGTCGGCACTGCGCCGACACATTTTCGGGCTTTAAAAACTGAAGTAAATCTAATTCTATCTCAAGAATTTCAAACAAGCAGTGCATCAAAGTTTTTTTATTATTTTCTTCCATCACAGCAATGTTGGAATTACAGTGTTTTGTACCTTTACCGTACTTAATACTACAAAAATATTTAGGTGCACCGGCGCACCCACAGTCAAAAATTGGGTGCACCGATCCAAATTTGGGTGCACTAAGGTGCACATGCACCCATTATTTCGATCCCTGATGATACTCTACCTTTGTAGGTCTGTCAGTCGATATTTGTATGTAAAACAATTTACGTGCCGACCCCGAGGGTTAGATGTACTTGCACATCAATACTGTGGCCTGATGGCAGCCCGCCATTTGCCTCTATCCTAACATTATGTAGGTTCAAGATTATTGATTATTACTGTAACAACTAATTTTAGGTACTGTACAAGTACTAGTATTAGGTACACAGCCCTGCCAGTCTGTCTGTCAATACCAGTATGAAGATATAGTAACAAATTGAATGATTGTTTGAAAGAAATATAGTACTAATAGTTTGTTGTGTCCCCCAGAGGCTGGAGGGTCAGCGGTCGGCGCTGCAGGCGGCAGTCCAGGAGACGAGTGTAGAACATGGCGTACACCAGCTGCGTGTGCAGGGCAGCGTGGCCAGCGCTCTCGTGTCCCTCCAACTCCTACCCGACAAACTCAACCCTGTCATACGTCCCCTCATGGACACCCTCAAGAGGGAGGAGAACTCACTGTTACAGGTGTGATTTGTTGTGATTTGATTTGATATGATTTAGTGAAATTGTAACAATACAACATACGTGGTACACAGGTAGCTATTGCTGGTATTGTGTCCCACACATAGAAACAAACACTTTTGCCATATGTGAAGAATCTCAAATAAAGCCATTCCTAATCCCATGCCTCCACCAGGAGTCTGCTGCTAAAAGTCTTGCCATGCTGCTAGAACAGACCATGACCAGGAGACCCTGTCCCAACCCCAAAATCACCAAGAACCTGCGAGGGTTCGCCTGCGCTGACTGTGTACTGACACCACTGGTCACTCAGCCTTTACAACCTATCAGGGGTGAGCAGTTCAAATTTCCTGTTACCAGCATCTGAACCATTCCAGCAAAATTGCTTGTTTCTTGGACATAGTAAAAGATAAATGCTGCAAGATGCGAGAGATTTTAGTGCGGCTGTTAAAAAGATGGTACAATGTCCTGGACATGTTGCAAGGGGAATTTTCTAATATGCAGATATTGAGCACTGAACACCAGGATGTATTGAATTTTACATGGCTGTCCTCATACTTGGGACCAGCTATTTGAATATTCAAAGTATACAGTTGCATAAATTTTGTATTTCAATTAATGTTTCCTGTTGATAGTTATCACTTGGGACTTCTTCTCTCATTAAATTTTCATATAGAACCAGCCTCCAGACCGGCCAGCCCGGTATGTGGCTCCCCCGCAGCCACCCCCTCCCCGTCAGGCAGGGGTACCCCCCCTGTGTTCCCCCCCGGCACAGAGGGGGTGTCCAAGACCTCAGGGATCCTGACGCTGGTGCGGCAGCAGAGAGAAGCCGCCATTGCGACGGCCAGCAGGCGGGGAGGGAGGGGCAGGAAGAACCCGGGGGTGAAGGTCGACATGGAGGCCATACTGGCCGAGGAGGATGAGGTGAGAGGTCACACATAGAACACTTATATCGTCCTACAGCCATCATGGGTTTTGAGATCCACAGAAATCAAAGGATTTATAGTAACTGTTTTACATTTTTGTTTTGAATTGCTTTTAGTTATTAAGAAGTTAACACTGCTCTTCCTGGAGTCCAGAAATACATTGCACAAAACATAGAGTTAACATTTTAGATTAGTGTGTTACAAGATTAGAAATTCGACTGGAGAGTATAGAGCTAGAGTGTCATGTGTTACAGAAGAAAGCGTTACCTTATTTTAAAATTTATATTTTTATTTCTAAGCAATAAAACTTGACTAGATTGACTGCGTTTTTAAAAAAATGCTTCGAGAAACCTGTGCAAAGGAGGAAGTAAACGTTAAACACTTGCAATGATAATATGGTATGAAAACCTCGTACCTGTTGCCTTCTGAAAGACTTGAAACACAACAGCTGACTGTATGGAGCGCCCTCTGTAGGTTCAGAAGCAGGCTGCAGTGCAGGTCCGCGGTGCAGGGCTGGCGCTGACACAGATCGCCCGGCACTTCAGCGCTGACCTGACAACGGCCCTGCCGGCCCTGTGGGAGGCCACGGTGGGGGCATTGTCCTCAGCTAACCTCCCTCCTGATGCAGGTATGTAGTAGGAATGTGTTGAAATAAGCAATTGAGGACTTTTTGTCTAATTAGTTAATAATATACAATATACATTCTTTGTGCCTGGTAAAAACCCATGAAAACTGTGACTTATGAAAGGAAATGGTGCAAGAGAGAACGAATATGTTATGAATCATATTTAGCAACATGTAAGACTCATAATATCAACATCCTTCTAACTAATGAAATAATACTGTATATAACTGACTTTAAAAACGTTCCTGCTGTAGTAGTTCCAAGTCTACAGTTAATAACCATTTGTAAAAGTGACATTCAAATGATATGAAAAGGTTACATGCTTGTACCCTGTTTGGTTTTCAATATGTATTCAATGCAAATATAATACTTTCTGTGGCCCACAGAGAATGAAAGTCCATGTTTGTTCCCTGTAGACTCAGCCCATGATGGCCCTGCACAGGACCTGGTGAATGCACTACAGGTGGTGGAAGTCATGGGTCCGGCCTTACACCAACAACTCCATACACAGGTCAGCACAAGTACAGTTTTTATTTTACAGTGTGTGCTCGTGTAATGTGAGGAATTGTATCTGCAGCCATGATGAAATCAGTAAGTGCATTTACAGTAACAAGATCATTTTCAATCCTGTCTTCCAGCTGATCCAAATGTTCCAGCTGCTGTGCCCCTGCCTGTAACACTCCTAAACTGCAGACATGTGACCATGGGAGTGGGCCAAATGTGCCTAGAAGTTTGCGTCATCCCAAGTCCCCATCTAACAGAGTCACTTCCTATCTTCCAGCTGGTGCAGACCTTACCTCAGCTGTGCACCTGTCTGCACCACCCATACACTGCCGTCAGACACATGGCAGCCAGGGTTCTGGGCATGCTCAGTACGGTGGTTACCGTGGAGACCATGAACATGGTGCTGGGTCATGTGATCCCCATGCTGGGTGCGTCGGATCAGGTTTGGAGGGAGGGAGCCATGGAGGCACTCAGCTGTATCCTTCTGCCAAAATGACATCATACCAGGGTAGTTGGTTTGGTTTGGTTTTCTTTTTAATGCCCACGATCATGATAATGATCATTCTGGCATTCTCATTTTCACCTGAGCAAAGTGAGAAAAGTCTTGTAAAGTGCCTTTCTCAAGGGCACAAGATTGGCAAACCCGGGACCTCTAGGTTTTCAGCCAAATGCCACATGACCCCACTAGATGAGAAGCTCGGTATAGTGAACTTAACAACTACGTGTAGCAGGTAAAACAGGCAGTAGGTAAAAGGCAGATGTGTTTAGACATAGTTGAGAACTTGGAGTGTATATTGACTCAAACTAAAACATTGATTGTTAATATTCCGGGCAAGGCTGTTGTGTTCAGACAAGTCAGGTGTAGTGACATGAACAAAATAAAACGTTGATTTTTACTTACCTTGACAAGCCTGTTGTGTTCAGACATTGTTGAGAAGCTTGGTGTGGTGATGATTCCATACATCGTGCTGCTGGTGGTCCCGGTACTCGGCAGGATGAGTGATCAAACCGAGTGTGTCAGGCTCCTGGCCACGCAGTGTTTTGCCACACTAGTCAGGCTCATGCCACTAGAGGTAAGAAAGTGACTTTTTTTCCTAACAAATTTGCTCAGTGCAACACCAAAAGGCCACTAAATCTGTCACTTATAAAAGGAAGTGGATGCTACCTTAAACGTTTCCAAAATCATATCCAATTCTTTGATTAACTGTTTTTTGGCATATCTTGTTATCTGGATGTCTAACCTTCAGTGACGTACCACTGAATCTAGCCACTGAGCTAAGTTCAGGTTACTAGGAAAGCATATCTTCTCCATAAGTCAGAAACATCAATGCTCGATAAAAGCTGAACTCACAGAGTGAGGACTAACTGATGCAGGGGATTGTCAATTTCAGTAAAATTTTGGGTCCTCAATCTCTGATGTTATGGATGAAATCCCCTGGAGATCCAAAAAGGTTATGTTACTGCCTGACTAGTATAAAGAAAGTAGTCAAATTTTGTTTTGTTTTTTGTTTTGCTCATGATTTTATATCAACTTTGTTAATGAAAAATGAACATTTGTTTTACTTTCAAGGCTGGGATCCCGAACCCTCCAAACATGTCTGCTGACCTGATTGAGAAGAAAGCCCAGGAGAGGAGGTTCCTGGAGCAGCTGCTGGATAACTCCAAGGTGGAGAAGTACGTGGTGCCGGTCCCCATCCAGGCAGAGCTCAGGAAGTACCAACAGGTGGGGCAGGAACCTTACTAGTGGCATTGTGTGGTATAATGCAATGGTGGGTTAGCAAGTCTCATATAGTGTTTGGCCCAGAGTCAAGAGGTTCTGGGTTTGAACCCCTGACATGCCCTGATGTTGTTCCATTATTTTGGAAGGTATTTTTTACACTTATTACTCCATGCATATTGCTGAATTGGTTGGAACAATTGAATAAGATTAAGATTCAGTCCAAGTATTTTTCATTGACAGGACAAGGGTGATAAGAGAGAAGGTATATCAAATTGTGCTGTACATTTTGTATCCGGGTAACTTTATTTAAGTCAGGCAAAATATACCAAAGTTACAGGTTACATGATTTAAGCGTTAAAAAATCCATCATGTCTTCTGTGTAAGGAAGTCTTTCCTTTATAATTCCAGGATGGTGTGAACTGGTTGGCTTTCCTGAACAAGTACAAACTGCACGGCATCCTGTGTGATGACATGGGGCTGGGCAAGACTCTACAGTCCCTGTGTATAGTGGCAGGGGACCACTACCATAGGGCAGCAGAGTATAGGGTAAGATAAATTATTGTACATGTACTTTTACAGTCCTATGATTTGTATGGGCTAAGACACTATACTTGTGTGTGTGAAAAATTTTGGTAGACCTGTGTACAACAGTGGCTGACAGGCTACTGTAATCTGTTGGTGTTTGGTTTGATTTACTGTTCTGCAGAAGTCTCGTCACGCTGACTGTGCCCCCCTCCCCTCCATCGTGGTGTGCCCCCCCACCCTGACGGGACACTGGGTGTACGAGGTGGAGAAGTTTGTGTCCTTGGAACACCTGAACCCCCTGCACTATACAGGACCCCCCGCTGAGAGGAACAGGTCAGTAATTATTGTAAAAAAAATTATGCCACTTATGCGAAAAATATTTTGAATGTCAATTTTGTTGTTCAGTCTGTTGTATGTAAATTTCTCAACAAGGCTTCTAGATACAGCTACTGTCAAGTGATATGTTCCATACACAGTTTTAGTTGAACTTCCTTCTTAGCCAACTTCCAAGACTGATTTTTGAGGATTTCTTTTCTTCCTTCCCAGGTTAAGGAGCCGTGTGAAGAAGCACAACCTTGTGGTGGTGTCTTACGACATTGTCAGGAATGACATTGACTTCTTCAGGTGGGCCTATTTACATCTTAGATCTTTTGCCTCTACTTTAACTCCCATAACGGGATAAAAGGATGCTGTTTCGAGCAAAATGTTTGGAAATGCATTATGTTACTGCACTGTTATTGTTAACGTATTACTAATCTAAATAATATGATTTAATTTACTATTTCTACACCAGAACCATACAGTGGAACTACTGCATTCTGGATGAAGGACACATCATCAAGAATGGAAAAACTAAGGTGAGTGGGATTAAAGTAGTCACAGGTACCACATTTGATGCATAATCATCAGATATTGACTGTTGGTTAAAAACAAACTGTAAATGTCCACAGCTAAAGTTTGTTCCAATACAGCTGTGTGTACTTTGACTGTCACCCTTTGTGCTGCCATTGCACTTAAACACTCACCATGCATGCTGCAGTTTAAAGGACTTATGACATGTTTATTTATTGCTCATTTAGTACTAACTGAATTCCTGAAATGTGCTGAATGTGTTTTTTTTGTTGCCTCCAGATTTCTAAAGCAGTAAAGCAGTTACAGGCCGACCACAGACTGATTCTGTCTGGCACACCCATCCAGGTTTGGCATGTTTGTTCATAATATACTAAATATTGACAGTGTTAGATATGATTATATTCAATTTGTTCGATTTTTTCTTAATATACTTTTCTACCTTCTTTTTTATGTTAACCATCATTGATTCATCAGTTCTTCATTTCTTCCCTCCCTCCTCTGTAGAACAACGTACTGGAGCTGTGGTCGTTGTTTGACTTCCTCATGCCGGGATTTCTGGGTACTGAGAAACAGTTCATGGCCAAATATGGCAAACCCATCCTGCAGTCTCGGGATGCCAAGAGCTCCTCCAAGGAGCAGGAAGCAGGTGAGAAAGAGAAGAGTCTTGTGGTTTTACACCTGGTTTGAGAAGGCAGAAGAAGGTTACACATTTTCGAAATGACTCATGTACTAAACAGCATCTGGGAATTTTTTTTATGGAAGTTGAACACATACCAGTACTGGTGGACTAGCTCCGTGGTGTAGTGATTGCACAAATTTGTATGTACCGGAAGTGATGGGTGCTGTTCTGTGTGGACATGTGGACGGATTTTTTGTTGGGAGCCTTAAATAAAAGTCTGCTTTGTACTGTGTATATTTTAGAAAAGTTTAACTTAAAGTTTTTATTGTGGGATAAGGAGGACAATTACTAGTAAGTACAATGTACTAGACTTAGCTTGTCTCAATGTCTGATCATGTATGTTTCAGAAGTGTCTTTGTTCTTGCCATGTCTGTCAAATTTTGCCAACAGTAGCAACAGTTACAGGTGATTGTAATGATTGGTTCCTGTGTGCAGGTGCCCTGGCTATGGAGGCGCTCCACCGACAGGTTCTGCCCTTCCTCCTCAGGAGAATGAAGGAAGACGTCTTACAAGATCTGCCTCCCAAGATCATCCAGGACTACTACTGTGAGCTCAGCCAACTACAGGTATGGCAGAAGCACTAATCATCTTACAAAGAAGATGCATAAATAGAATGTTTACTCAAATGGTCTCACTCACTCTCACAAATGGTTATCCTTCAAAATGTTGTTGGACTTCCGTGAATGGTTTCATTAGGTTGGTAAGTTACTGAGTAAAGAGACTCTTTGTACAAAACCAAGTGTTTAATTCACAGTCGACAAATTAAAAAACCATGTACATTTGGGAATGCATCTATAGCAGCGACACCTGTGCTGCAGTGCAATGTGAACCTCTCAGAATTGCCCTGAGGAAGGTGACAGACAGTTACCAAAACATCGTCTGTGAATAAAACACTCAGTCTTGCTTGTGTAAAAAGAGTCTCTTTACTGTATTAATATTAATATTAATTGTATATATACTGTGTATGATGATGTAAATATGATGATGTATATATGTATGTGTTTTGATGTTTTGTAACGTTTATGTGTATACTCTCTCCTGGAAGAGTAGCTGTCACCCTCGGGTGGGCAGCTAAAGGAGAGTTTTAAACCAATAAACCAATAAACTGTTGTTGGACTGTAAACAAGGACCACTCCTTCCCGCAGGTTCAGCTATACGAAGACTTCGCCAAGTCTCAGGCCAGGAAGGGTGTTGAGAATTCCATCACCATGGCAGCGGCAGACGAGGAGGAGAAGCCGAAACGAACAACCCACATTTTTCAGGTGAAGATGAAGACTTCCACATATCTAACAGTAATTAGGGTATGTGACTTGTGTTAACTGTAAACAAATCCTTCTCATTTCAAGCACAGTTTTTTCCTACGATGCTCTTCTTTATGTATAAAAGTAATTTAGAATCTTTTATCCCAAAAGGTTGACTTATTTCTTCTTAATTTTTTCTCCCAGGCTTTGCAGTACCTTCAGAAGGTGTGCAACCACCCCAAACTGGTGTTGACCTGCAGTCACCCCGAGTTCCAACAGGTGGCGCTGCAGCTCAAGGCACAGCAGTCCTCCCTTTCAGACATTCAACACTCCGCAAAACTGACAGCCCTCAGGTTAGTTGTATGTATGGTTTGTTGAGGACCTTCCTGGTGGTCCCTTAGAGTATTTACCCCATTGGCATAAGTGCTAGTGACCATTATCTACCATAAGAGCCATTGAATGGACACCTGGAGATTGGAGAATACACAGGATGGCCCTATATGAAATGGAGAGATAGTCTAATTCAACACCTGGGTCGTACATGGCCAAGAACTGCAAGTCGAAGAAAAGACTGGAGTCAGTCAATTCAGGGGTTCCACTGTGAGAGTGGTAACAACCTGGAATGATGACGATATGTCTACTATGACCCAGTCATATCTTGAACTCTAACATAATGTGTTGTTCCCAGACAACTCCTACTGGACTGTGGAATTGGCGTTCCCGACAGTGGACAGACAGCAGACCTCCTGTCAGACTCGGTGGTTGGGCAGCACAGAGCGCTGGTCTTCTGCCAACTCAAGAGCATGCTGGACATCCTGGAGAAGGACCTACTCAAGTGAGGGACAAGGCTTACATTCCAACTAATGCTTGCAGTTAGATATGCAAAGGTTGGGTGTAACAGGTTGTTCGGTGTAATGTAGCCAGCTGCAGCCCCACGGCATGTCTGCAAAGGGTGGTTATACTGGCTTTACAGATACACCATCTGACTCAGATACATGTACTAGATACTATGTACATGTAGGGTATACCATGGTTACTTTGTCAACTAATCACTGACATTGCTGATGAATCGAAGCGAATGCTATAAATGTACCACTCACAGAGGCCTTCACATGTACTTGCCCCACTACTACTGACTAGTGCTTGTATGATTGTGTAATTAGACAATGTGTATGACTGTTGTTTTTTGTTTTAATATGGGCCATTGGCCTGAGACAAAGCATATTAAATAGATGATTCTGTTACTTTCCAGAGCCCACATGCCCAGCGTAACGTACCTCAGGTTGGACGGTTCCATTCCTGCAGGAGCCAGACATTCCATTGTCAACAGGTACGGAATAATAGGCTGTATTTTGTTGTGTTGTGATGTTGGTACTACTCTAAATGTACAGTAATGAGTGCTATGTACATGAATTGTTACACTTTTTTTATATTCTACTGACACAATGGCTGTGGCCAGATATTTCATAAGTCAACTGGAACTTTCTAGCTGGCCTTTCTAGCTGACTACTCTATTTGTGTTCCTGTTTGTAAGGTTTAACAACGACCCATCCATCGACCTGCTGCTGCTGACGACCCACGTGGGTGGGTTGGGGCTGAACCTGACTGGTGCTGACACTGTCATCTTTGTGGAACACGACTGGAACCCCATGAGGGACCTCCAGGTAAAACATCATCATTCTGTATGTTTTTAGACTACACCAGTCCAGAGTAATATGCGAAGTCCAGTGGTGAGTGACTCTGCCTCTGGACCAGGAGGTTGGGAGTTTGAATCCCAGCTGTCATTACTCACCCTACATGCATACTACACTAAGGTGAACAGTCCTTATAACAGGACGTTAATCTGTGGTCCTGTTCATTGTGCTGGTCAAAAAAGAGCGAGTGGAATTTTCCCGGTGCAGTGAACATGTCAATACACAATCATGTACTGTACATACATGTAGTGTCTGTCTTCTCTGTCATGACCAGTGAGGTAAAACTGGATCAAGATCACTAAATTCCTTAGAAGATCTAATGAGTCTGAACTTTTTTTTTCATTTTGTGATGTTTGAGAAATGCTAATTTTTTGACATTCATTGAAGATACATGTACATGTAACATGTGTGTTGTTAACCATCTTAATATAATCTGTACGCTCAAATATATGTCAGATTAGATGTTAGATGTCACAGGCTGAAGGTTTAGATACAGTTTGTTTTTACATGATACAGTAGATACTGTTTTCATCTCCCCTACACAGGCAATGGACCGTGCCCACCGGCTGGGACAGAAGAAGGTGGTGAACGTGTACAGACTTGTCACTCAGGGAACTCTGGAGGAGAAGATCATGGGGTTAGCTGAGCTGCCTTTGTCTGTTTCCTGAAGCAAAGAAAAGCAAACATTGATACATGTACATTGTAACTTGATTTGTGATTGTATGCTTCTTCAAAGAATGTTATTTATAAGCCGTGGTGCTTACAATGTGTTCTTACATTGACCACATATAGCAGCAAGAATCAGTACTGCAGTCAGAAGCTTTTTGGAAGGAGTCTGATAGACATTGAAACGTAAGCAGAGTGAGAAAAGTAATGGTTGTGTGCAAGAAAATCCTAATATCCTAATAGATGTTCTACCAACCTGATGAAAGTATTTTTGGAGGTAACTGTTTTATTTCATGATTTCAGGCTGCAGAAGTTCAAGTTGAACATCGCCAACACCGTGATCTCCCAGGAGAACTCCAGCCTGCAGTCCATGGGCACCGACCAGCTCCTCGGCCTCTTCACTCTGGACGACAGGAAGGAGAGAGAGGAGGGAGGGAGGACAGCGGGGAAGGTGCAGGGACGTGCTGAGAGTGTGAAGGGTGTGTTGGAGGGACTTGGTGAGCTGTGGGACCAAGCACAGTATGAAACAGAATACGACCTGGGCAACTTTGTCCAGTCTCTAACCTGAGGCTCCAACTGGACAATGTGCAGTGCTTTTTTGGCAACAGTTGGCAAAGTACAAGTCAGAATATGATCAAGGCCACTTAATTTGCAAGGGCTCTAGAGATGTGATTACTGAACACTGTGCAGTAGTTTTTGGCAACACTTCAGAAATGGTCACCTAGATTTAGACAGAGTATAGTCTGGGCAACACAAATAATATCTGGAAACTGTGCAGTATCTTTTAGGTGACACCTTTAGGGTGTAGATGTTTGGAGTTTTTTTTTTCATCCACACAGGAGAGTTGTCACCCAGGTTAGTGCAGTAGAAAACGTGATTATGATCTGGGCAACATTGTGCAGTACTTTTTGGCAACACCTACAATGTATGTGGTAGTGCAGTTTTGCAATGCAAAAAGAAACCTTGCATAAGGGCCAAAATCATATTACAATGTATCAGATAGTACAGATACTGATATATGATAAAACAGGATGACCCCATTTATCTAGGTGTGGCCTACACTTCAGTATACAGTGTAGTTTTAGTCAGGAACTCTCAGCAGTACTGCTGACTCAGCAAATTTAGGGCTATATCTTTTGTGTGTACAAAAGGGCTTCATACATGTAACGATACATGTCACCTTATGTACATTGTACTTTTTGGGGAAAACTGTGCAAGAAGTTTGTACATGTACAATGTATGTTAGGGCCACACTTACAAGGTGGTTGAAGTGTAAATATTGTCATTTTATAGGGTCAGATGTATCACAATACAGCAAACTTACTATACTTGATATACTGTACTGTTAGTATTAAGACATTGTACAAAAGGCACTTTTGAAGTATAGAGTGTATAGCCCCCAACAGGGCCTTCCCAAGTTATGGCTTTTGGAAAATAGGGTGAATAATTTGCCAGACGAGTAACTGCAATTGCCAAATCAAACTTGTATGGTGGCCAAACTTCCCAAGATAGGCATATCATAATTATGAATTCTCCCCTTTTGGATAAATTTTCAATTTTTGGGCCAGCATTGTTAGTCTGGTGGAGACTATAATATTAAACTTAATATTACATGTATCCTTTGTTGGTGCTGCATAATTTTCTATGTGGAGCTCACCCAGGGATTAACCTAGTATATGATCATAGCTTCCACCAACAGAATTTAGAAACTCCTCCATCCAACATGAAAATCAAGGAAACTTTGATTGTCTTCAAGTTGATGGAAGCCAAGTGTTGTCAAGTTTTGTTTGTAACACCACAATTCTATTATTATCATAAAAGATGTTGGGAACAACTATGGAATGAAACTCCTGTTGTTATCTTTATGGCTATTATGCTGATACTTTGATAGATATGTATTTAATACTTTTTCTTCACCTCAATGAAGTTTTTAGCTTGTCTCTGTGTTCCTTTAATTCCAAACCCACACAGACAAATGACGAGACAACAAATTAAACTTACTCTACAAGGATTTTAATAGCTTTTTATAGATGGATGCTGTCATGCGCCTATGTCTGAAACAGCCTATGTCAAATCCTGGATATGATTACATAGTGTACATAATATGCTCATAAGAATACATTTCAGATCGCTGATAGTTACACTGTGATGTAACTAAGAAATCTTTAGGATAACACCATTGAATCTCAAATAACTCAAATCAAAATATATGATCACTGGCAGTAGATCAACTGAAATTCTATCCTGACAGTTCTGCATATAATAGAGCTTTCCCAACTAGTCCATTCATATATGTTGCATTGGGTGAGAAATTTTTACAAGGATGGCAGCCCTGTGTCAAGAAATACATACATGTAAGTGATGCACAGGCAATTAACAGGGAAGGTGAACAGCAACAAAAAAGGAACACAAAAAATACCCTTCTTGGACTTAGCTTAGATGCATTTCAAGAAATTCTGAATAAATTTGCCAGTGACTGTGTCAGTAATAATAACATGTCCATCTATTGCAGCAGTGAAGGTATCTGTATTACTAAGTATGATTTTACAGCAAGTCATGAAAGTGGGCATAGAATTGCATTTTCCTGTTCAAAACTGCAGCATTCAATGTCAGTCTTCAAGGGGCAGGAGTGGGGGAGGAAGGGGGTTATCATCTTGGGATTGGAAAGCATGTTGTCCAGCTGGCAAAACATAACCAGGTCATACTGATCAAGTTACAACTTTTACAAGAGAAAAGTAAGATTCTTTCTAATATAATACACAGATGGCAACACTAAATTACTTCAGTGGTTTTCCTACATCATCAGCTTATTACAATTAACAAGAACATACGTTTTATGCATTGAACATAAAAGTTAGAGTAATACAGTACAGAAACTCTAACATGACCCCTGACTGGGCTCACCTCTGAACCCTGACCAGGCTATGACCCCTAACCCCATCTTACAGTGAACACGGATATATTACAGTTCATTTGCATAGCCCTAAGGGAGACTTAAAGTGTACAGAAAAACGAAACATACCCTAAATTACATGTACATGTATTCCACAACAATGTTATATGTAATGATTAATAATTAAGTTAATGTACCCATAATACATCATGAAAAAAGCTGCTATGCTGTGTAAAATCCAATTCCCCTCACATTTGAACTGTTTCTATGTAGCCAGCACATGGATACAAAACGTCAGTCAGGCTATGGGCCAAGTCATATGTGGTGTCCTGTGCTGTCACTTGATTCAAAACAGCAGTGATGTTACAAAAAACAAACTTGGAGATGGTGTGTCACCGGCAGTTACAATTTGAATGATGTAGCACTGGTGATTGACAGAATCCTTCCAGCACTATTTTGCCCTGTTTGAATTGTATATTAACAACATCAACCAAGTCTAAGTTAGAGCTATTGTCATAACAGGTGACAACTCTTTTCATCACCAGCCAAACAATTAAATGTTTTCATCATGCCATTATGATTCTCTTCCTGAATAGGGCAGGGACAGCAGCTTCTAGTGGTCAGTCCGTATTAACTATAGGTCACTGTTTTGAAAGACATTAATGATTCAATCCCTCTATTTCCTAAACAGCAAGGCACACAGTGCTCTCTTCAGTAAAATTGACCTACATGTAGCAGAGGATAAGAGTTTTAGAATCTTCCAAACCACTCAAGATGTGTCTTCCATTCCACAAACTGGCAAATAGGAAAATCTTATTTAAGAAAGAAGCAGGATAGGGCATTGGAACCCAGAAATGACTTACTTTCAGTACCTGCTTTCAGTTTGGGAGCGTGCATGACACAATGCAGTGTGTGTATACAATAATGTGGAATGCATACATGTCTATGCCACTGTGTATGCATGGGTACAGTATAGCATTTGATCACATTCGTAAGAAACATGCAATTTGATCCTTTCCATAGTCTTAGCTTCAAACTATCATGCCAGAACAATGAGTACAACTAACACCAGGATTTTTTTAGTCACTGACTAGAACCTATAAAATTCCACATGATTTTGCTAAGTGAACCTGAATGTCAGGAATATCGAAGAAGATTTTACGCGATAAAATTCATAAAATTGTGAAACTTAGATGTTATTGATTTTGATTTGCAAACAGCACAAAGTGAATGTCCTTAAAACTGCAGATTGATCCTCTGTTTTTATAAGTCTGTGTAACCATGCAAGGTTTACAAGTAAAATATTTCTGAACAAAAACTAGCACTTGAATCATTTTCCACACTTTTTTGTCAAGGAAAAGAATCAAAAGTTTGAACCTGCGCCAACCTTTCAAAGACCTGAAATGTATACTATATAACATGTCCTCTGGACTAGTCCATTTCAATAGAGGAGGAGACGGCCAGACATTTCCTGATCTGAAATTGATTCCATACCATGCCCCCTAAACTCCATTCTAATTTGTACAAAATGCTCTTCTTTAAACACATGAAAAATCCAGGTTTTTCACCCTTTTGAAATGAGTGAGCCCTCTTTTAATGAAACTAAAGCTACGTGTACCTGTTATAATGATGATGTCTTTAGTATATCACTTTTACTAAACATTTGAACAGAAAATTCTACAGATAAGTCATGGCTATTCTAACCATGTAAACTTTAAGAAATACAATCATCAAAAAAAAAGTTCACATCAATTGAAGATTATTATTATAGTAAATGCAGAAATTACTGTACAACTTAGCTGTACAAACTGTTAAATCTGTCTAGCAAACCACCCCTGACCCAGCAATGGCAAAGCCTGATCTCCCCTAAGCCAACAATGGTGCAACCTGGCCTCCCCCAACCCTGGGGAGGTTGGAATCATCCACAATATAACTTGTGCTCAAGATAAATTTCTTTAAATATCGCGATATTAGACTTTCAGAAGCTGGCACTGTGAGAAACTGCTAAGAATCATTTGATTAGATATGATAGAGTCACGGCAATGTCTCTTCAACAAAGTTACTTGTTTCTGTCACTCCTCAAAATGAGAGGAAAAGAACAAAAACTTGAGAAAAGTGCAGGCATCTTATACTGTAGGTTTAAAAGCCTTCAACACAATTCCAGGATAAGTTAAGACTGGAATGTAGTCTGTGACTCTTAGTTTGTCCTAGTTAGCTCTCATTCTTGTCAAAGTCAGTTTTCATCTGAAGAAACAAGCAATGTTGTTGGAGTGAATATAGAAGAAAAAGCATGGATTGAACCACATTGTGTGGGAGAGAGGGGGGGTACAGTGTAGGAGGAGGAGGGATCTAACTGAGCTCCTGTACATAAGGGGCAGGGAACATCCCCGTTTCTCCGTGGCACTGTCCCTTCCACCAGTTTGCGTCGCTCTTATCCATTACTGAGATGATGTCTCCTTTCCGGAACCGTAGCTCACCAGCTTCCTGTGGATTGAAGTCAAACTTGGCCTGGACTTTCAGTTCCTGCTGGGAAACACAACAACATCAGGATCTGACATTTTTTTGCCTTCAAAAACCTTTCAGAAATTTTGACAAAGCTGCTCCCTGCAGTTCAAAAAGCTGATGGAGGGCCTAAACCTATACCACTTCTTTACAACACCAATAGCTATCTATCAAATGATGACCTGAAAAGTATATCTAGAACAAAATATGAAAACAATTCTGCTGCAATACCATAGAAGGCTGCTAGGAGGTCCATAGCTGAACCTACCCTTCATTTTGCCCACAGCTACTAACATACCAGCTATCGTGTGAGTTCATCCAGAATGTTCTGTTACCTTTTTCGTCTCCATGTCCTTCAGAAAGATGGTTTGTGTTCTGCTGACCGAGGATGACCGGTGATACTCTACTAGCTCGTTCAGTGAGTTGAATTTGACAACCCAGAGAAAGTACTTCCCCGCCCCGTCCCTAAGAACTTTGAAGTGTTGCACTTCCTTGTGAAACCTGTAGGGGGACAAGAAGTGCCAACATGAACGTGAACCAATGGAACCTCAGGTAACCAAATCTCTGGCAGTCATCCTTTTGGACTTTATGTCAATCTCTAGGCGCCCAAATGGAACACAGCAGCCATTTTCATCATCATCATCACCTGTTGTTCTTAAAGACAGTAAAGGCCAAATATTTAGCAGAAAACCATCATAATGTTCAACAAGATCAGTTAAAAATTCTCCTGAGTGCTTATTCTGAACACTATATCAAAATTTGAAACATTAATTTCAAGATAAAGAAATATCTTACTTGACTGAAAGTGAAAAGTCACCCGGCGAACTCTCGCTTTCCCGTATCAAGAAGGCACCGTCCATCTCCTGTTTCATTAGTCTCTCCTCCGCCATCTGTCTGCTAATTTTGCCGTGGAACCACCTGGACAAACAAACAAACAATTGGTAAACACAACAGTGGGTATGGGTATAGTTCCTGCATGCAATTTCTTTAAAAAAACTCAAAACCATATTTCTGCAATGTTGTACATGTAACACCTTATATAAGAATGGAGATGTGAGCAACAATAGACAAAACACCAGTATTGGATGGTCTTCTGGTCCTTTCTTCATTTATACCAGGGGAAATAAGGTCTGAGAAAATTTAGAAACACTCATAATTTAAGTGTATTCTTCTCTTCAAAGGGCAACCATTTCGGGGCTTGAAATACCAACTTACTGCATATGCAGGTTATAGGTACTAGTAATATGTAGGTAAAATTGGAGCTGAGCAGGTATTTCTGAACGGTCTATCTGAACGGATCCCTGCATTTTGTAATTTCTCTGGGATGGCAACCATAGAATGGAAGCTGTACAGCCTAAGTGCAAACCAATCGGACTGCCAAGTTATTCTGGGGATAGCCTCACAAGACAAGGTCATTTCAAAATCTGCGACTGAATATATAGGAATGAATACACAAGTCTGAAATGGTTTATTCAATATTGCTATAACTGTATTACATATATTGTTACATTTTGTATCACACAAATCATTTGTTTGTTCTCAATTTGACCTAAAGGAAAATCTAATCAAGTGCTACAGATAAGGCCATTATGCTTCGCTTGTAGAATGTCATTACTGAAAGCCATTATCCTCTCTAAGCTGATTAGGTTCTTAACGAATGATCAATACTGGCTTCTGTCGGGGGTAATGGAATGGGACAGACACACGGCTGAGTTACTGTGAAGTCTACTGTGCTATTCTAAATGGTCGAGTTCAAATGAACCGTACTTTAGTGATTAGGGAAAGGAACTTCTTATAAAACACAGGTCAGTCGTGGTTGACCTTTGGGTAGATAAACTTCAATTCTACATTTATAAATGTTATTCAGGCATCTTATTTTTCTCAGCCCACAAAAGATTTATTTCCTTATGTTTCAGACATTTCAAAATGAAAATGAAACAAAAGGTCAAGATAAAAACAGATGGCTAAAAGAACTTAAACCTTACTTACACTTCACTACATTCTACATTCCAGTCATATTAGGTACTTATTCATTTCATCATGAGATGGCCAAGGTTGCTCCTTGAACTTGTAAAACTTGATTTCCAGGCAGTTTTGGCATATACAGGACAAGATATGTTAATGCTGTATTCAGCCATTATTCAGTCATATTCAGTCAAATAAAATCCAATATGTCAAAACAAGCTGAATTTTTTACTGCATATCCAAGGTACAGACTTTCATGTTTATCTTCCAAAATGATAATGATAATCTTCCAATATTACAGTAAGATAAGAGTCTGAATGTGATATCAAGTAAATTATTTTTTCTACCCATAACCACTGAGCCAATCAAACAGACATGGCCTGACCCTGTACACATCCAACCTCTCCCCTACATCAGACTAAACACACCAGCTCCGCTCTGTCTCCATATGGATTGGAACGTCTATTTCTGTGTCTGCAAAACCTGAAATAGATGCTCTAAACTTGACCTCTCACTGCACTGCTGACCTGACTAATGCCCTTAAAACTCCGCATCAGAGATGTAAAACTTAATGAAGTAAAACAACAAGAACTCGTGAGCTAAAGAGCCACAGAGGCCCCTGGCACGAGCTTCATCAATCAATACAATTCACTGGTTCTTGGTCAACTCAACTTTAGTGTTGGTGCCAGAGAGGATATTATTAGGACTGCAAAGGTAAAATCTGCTGATTCTGACAAATTCTGAAGATGTAAACAGATAGTATACAAACATGCAAATGCTGCTAAAATTCTGCCACCCACACATTTACTTTAACACAAAGTGCCGGCTTGCAACCTGTGATTTGTGAGGACATGCTGAAATTGTAGACTTACGATTTCAACACCTGTAATTTTGTTGGCCTGATTTAACCAGCACCCAGTACAGGTGTTGGAAACCACCATGGAAGAATGTTAACAATAAGCCGAGTGGTGTAACTTTTGCTTACAGTAAGATATGGATTCTACACTTATAATTATTGAACTGCTTAGTTAAGAACTACCCAGTATCATATTCTCTGACCCTGATCTCTTACCACAATCATGACCTCTTACTCTTAGTCAATGAAATAAAGCAGCCAGCAGGCCAATAATACTTCATGAATAAACAAACCAAATTCATATGATTATGGGTCTCAGACTCAGAGTAATACTGCTGAATTCTGACCAACAGAAAAACAGTGTTTAATTTCATGAAGACAATCTACTTGTTAGATTCAAGTTTTTATCCCTGCCCCGTTTTCATTTTTCATGCTCAACTCTTGCTTTTTTATGGCTCTTCAAAACGTCTGAGACAAAAAAAAACATTTTGTATTGGTGTGACTTTAATTTTTAAACAAAAAATAAAAAAAACATGTTTGGGACTGTTTGTGGGATAGAAAACAGTTTTAAAAAAGGTAATGACGATACATACATAATTGAATGTACATGAAGAAGTTTTCCAAGAATTCATAATACATGTACCAGGACAGTAATCAGATCCCTGCACGAACTACTGTGTGTGACAATAGAAATTCGACCCCCAGAGCGACAGAGTCGGAAATTTCTTTCTTGTCATCTGCCCCTCAGGAGCAGGTGGAATGTGATTATGTTTTTATGTTTGATGCAGATTACAGCAGTATAATGTAATATGCTGCTGAGTCATCCTGTCCATACACAAAGGGCAAGGTTGGTCAGGGTTCAAAATATTGGGCACATATCATCAAGCACTTTTGTATATCCAAAATTGAAGCTGTTTACCTATTTTTTTTAGTCTTATACCTGTACGAAGGCACAGGTCTCCCCACAATTTTCAAAATAATGTTAGGCAGCCCAACAATTCAGTTGTTTCAATATTAACATTTGTCAGCTGCTACAGTCGCAGGTAGTGTTCAGCTCTGTATCATTACATGTTTATTTCATATCAAAACTCAGGCCTTCCAGACAAAAAAGATCACTTGTCTTGCTGCAGGTGAAGCATCTTTGAATCTCACATAGACTTGTTTGAAACAGACAAATACTCCATTTCACACTTCGGTTCGGACATGCCATGTGATAAATGTACTGGTTGTTGTGCCAGTCCAAAAACCAGTTCATGGACAATTCAGTTTGTTTTGGACCTGTCCAAGACAGACGTACGTGGCGCTAGATTTGTATTCTAAGACATTGCAGGAAGACAAGAAGACAATCATCTGTACACCTGCCTCTGGGCTATACATTCTTCACAAGTTACTGACCTGTCTATAGAAACACAATCTCATACAGTAACACTCACTCATATGCTACACAGGTGTCTGCTTGAACCTTATCACACTGAAGTAACCATTTGGCTAGCAATTCCAGTTGTAGTACATGTTTAGGAAGCATGGAGAAAATCTGGCTATTGGAGTTTCATTTCAGACATTTTAGGATAACAAAATTTTCCTTGAAAACATAATGCACAAATCTTGTCCTAAATTACTTTGCTTCATGAGAAATATCTGTTAAATGTAGGGATGGAACAGTTTCTGGAAATGAATACGGGACTACTAGTACTATACTACTATACTTGAATTGATAAGTGCTCCTGGGCATATTGTGAAAGATGCACTGTCATTTTCAGATTTGCTGTGAGTCAAACCTCAAAGTTTTGGCTTATATCCCAGTTGTGCATTAGACGTGATGCGGAGGAAACAAAAGAGGAAACATGACAGAAAATGTGTTTTCCCCCAGTTACATAGACATGCGTCAGAGGAAACTCAACTTCTGCTCCAGCTCTACAATAAGGAATACAACATTTTGGCTCTCAGTCAAACAAAATTTCAGTTTTTTTAACTAAATCGTGATCATTTTATCATTCCATCATATGCTGATATGTGCTGCTATTAAAATACTGATCAAGTAAAATCTTAGTACTACTAGTATTCTATACGAATATGTAAACACACAGTAGTTTGATATAGTACATAGAAATTAAATTGAAATACAGTATACTTACTCATGTGGCTTCATCTGTATGTAGTTCTTGGGTACGAACCCCTCCTTGCCATTCTGCTCTGCTTTATACCAGTTCTGGTCATATTCTAGGTTCAGAATCTGAAAAGTTCAACACAGTTGCATTGATGTTTAAGCCAAACTAATTAATGATATCAAATAAAACAATTGTCAACACATGAGCTTTCCTGTATTTCTCAAACACCTCACAAGTAACACATGTCTGGATTCAATCAATGGTCAAACATCTGTCACACCATCATATTCATAGTACAGAATATGGTCTCTGCATTTAGATCTAACCGCCTTCAAGCAATGGTATACATAAATTGTGTTGGATCAGCAGTGTGAAAGTGTGACATTTTTGGCTTAGCAGATTGCCATAAGAAGATGAGTGGCATTACAGTAACTGCATACCCACAAAGAAAGAGCCTTACTGTGCACACAGTATCCTTACATGTACTTCTTTATCCAAGATTATGTGACATAATGTCTGACACTGACTCTCTCAGGACAGCAGAACTGGATATGGTAAAAGTTCAAACACACACTACTGTGTCCTGAGCTTAGCTTGGTTTGGTCATATCTCACAGCTGACATTCACACACTTGTCAACAAAATCTACTTCTAGTCACTGTAATCATTTTAATTTGCTGGTCCTTAGCTCATAAAAAATGCTGAAAATTAACACTAAAACATACTAGTAATCTTCAAAGGGAAAGTCTGTACCTAAGGTACATTGGTATATACAGTTTCAGGGAGGAAATAAAGTCAGAGCAAAGTTTTCCAGTCTTCTCTTTTCCTGACTATCAGTATCATTATCTAATATTTGTATGAAAACCACAGAAATTATATATTGGTATGGCTGTGTGTCCAGTTTTGGTTCTCACAGCTGGGTAGATGGTCTGACACTCAACCAACCATCTCTCAAACCTACTCCTGACATACCTCCTACATTATTCATACAAATGACTTGTACGTAACAAATTTTACACATCTCAATTATGCAGCAGGTATTCCATTACTACCCTGATATCAGATCGTGTGATGTTCCTGTTAATGTTATGTTCCCTCCAGGTTCAAGTCTGAAGAATGCAGTAAATACCCAGGAGGCTTAGCACCTGCCCTGGCAAATTGTTATTAACAGTTCTTCTTCTTCAGTTAAACTTAAAGGTCCGCTGGGACGACAATATGTGTGTATCTATGTTCAAAGTCTTGGGTAGAAGTAACCTTGCTTCTGGGACTGACAGACATCGGCAAGAACGGTTGAACCTGAGCTCCTTATGATTTCTAGATCCTTAAGATTTGAAATTAAAATGGACTGTGACCACATGCAACCTGCAGAGACAAGCCATTTCACTAAGCAACTTGGAACGGTTGAACCTGAGCTCCTTATGATTTCTAGATCCTTAAGATTTGAAATTAAAATGGACTGTGACCACATGCAACCTGCAGAGACAAGCCATTTCACTAAGCAACTTGGAATTCGATAAGCTAAATAATTCAGGCTTAGTATGTAACAAATCATACTGTACATTTCTTGGAGCTTGGTAAGCTCACCAACTTGGAATTTGGTAGGCTAGATAATACAGGCTTAGAGTAATAAATCATAGATTGCACAGTAGATCTATAGAAAGACTTCTTCATTTTTCTCCCTGCAGCACAAATAAGTGGCCAGTAGTGCCTGTATGTCTGTTAGAGGAATACATGACAAACTGACACATGTGAGATCTGTCTACTATTTTAGCCCTGCACCTGTTCCTACTGTTGGCACTTGATGCCTTCTGCAGAAGTGGGCAGACACAGGCACATAACATGTTACATGCATATTGTCAATGTGGCATTCAAACAATATTACATACATACAAAAGAACACTCAACAAGGCCATGAAGAGTACTTACAAGGCCTTCAAGCCTTGCAGTGATATAATAAATTGGTTATCATCAATCCATTAAGTTTTCATTTGGTACAAATGAAAGTAAACAATACAAACTGATAATGTTAATGTAACATTATTTACTCTCTTTAGAAAGTGAAGTAAAAAGTAAACTTTGAGTATACCATGACAAAATCTCTTCTTTGAGTATACCATGACAAATCTCTTCTTTGAGTATACCATGACAAAATCTCTTCTTTGAACATACCAGTGACAAAATCTCTTCCGACTAACCATGGCATGTCATGCATACAGAAGGAAAGTTGTTCATGGTGTTATTGGCTTTATATAGTTTTAGGGGTGACGGAGAAAAGATCATTACTTTTAGTTTTAGCATAATCCGGTTGAATACGACATATTTGTCACACCTGACACAGTCACACACAACCACATCATGACACGATCTTCTACACATTATGCAACACACATGTATGACTCATAATGCTTGTGATCACCAGCTTTCTATTAACAACCACAAACTCATCTACCGTATCCAGAATAACAAGTTACAAGGTCAAATAGCATTAGCAGCAGATCTGGTACAGCTTTTCTGTCACATTAAAACTAAAACATGCTGACATTAATTCAATATAAAAGAGCAGTAGGCATGACGTCGGTGCACAAGTATGTTGGTTGTAATGTATGCAGGCTTTCAACTTTTCTAGTAAGCACACAGGGCGAGACTCACTGTCAGTCCTTATTCTTTGCCGGATAACGTGCATGTACACATATGTCTAGTACTACTGACAGATTAACCTTCTGTCTGCTGCCCTATACTGTAACAAACTACAACATTGGCGCCATATGGTTGCCTCAGCAGGTTGAGGGTTAAAGGTGACAGGATAATTTACTTCCCCCACCCACAGGGCACAGCTACATTGTTCTCTGGTTCTTCGAACTCTGGACCTTTAGCTTGCAGGTCAGAGCGCTGAACATGCAATATTCTAGACACAATAGAAATAGCAACTGTTACATTAATGTGGACTTCAGAAATGTAAAGAAAAGACAATAAGATTGTTAAGTTCTGTTTGCCTCGTACCAATTTCATGTGCTTATTTCTAGTTCTTACATTTGCTCAGAACTAATGACATACTAGCAAGAATGACAAAATACATATACAGAAGCAGCCAACATTTTCGAAACCCAGCTGAACTAGACAACTAGTGCAGCTGAACATTCATTCAAAATAATCACAGAATTTAGAATTAGAAAGACAAAATATCACATGCCTCAAACCATCAACATTTTCTCATCCCAGGGGTGTTTACAGAATACAGACACTTGAAAAGTGGCTAGTGCTGGCCGATTTAACCTCTTCATGAATAAACAAAAGAAAACACAAGCAAATTGATCACAAGATGGTTGATAAATAGGGCAGATGTTTCTGCTGAGGGAACCATGATAAACATAACAATCTATCCATCACACTACATGTCTATTCAACTATCTAGACTACAATGGCTTTTTCTAATATTATGACAGTAAATGGCATCACCTACAGACCCAAAACAACACAGAATAAACAACACCAACTGAATAGTCTACCTTGATTGAATGACATTATGTGCTAAATTTTTCTGCCTGTTCATGATATTGTTTGGCCATTGCCACCAAAAGCATTTTTTTCCATGATGTGTTGTTAGATCTGAAACTGTGCCCACTTGAAAAACGATTTGCCAAAGTTGAGTGGTGTAAGAACCAAGAAGTCTGAACAATGAATAAACAATGATAAAACAAATGTAAACACATAATTCAATATGTTACAAAGCATAATTAAGATAACACTTATGTGTCTATGGTTAACCTTCCAACCTGCAACAGTTTAATTTAACATCCAAATATCCTCCCACGGCCTCTATGTAATATGTTTCTCTATTAGACTATCCGCAAACCACTGGCACAGAGACAAGTATCAGTGTGTAAGGAGTATCTGATGTCTCTGGCACAAATATTTACATGTCTTGTTGCCTGTAGATGCGAGGAGCACTATATTGACACGTTTGGTTGGTGAGAGGGAGGGAGTAGATTTAGAGCAGTCAACACAAGTAATACATAGAAATACTGCAGGGAAAATAATTGACATATACCACATCTGATCATCACAAAATCATTACTATGAAATAATTTATTCCAAGGCATTGAGAAAACATTTCAAAGGAAATAACAATTAATTGGTGACAACAACTCATTGCACAATGGCTAAAAAAATAAGCAGCAGGGATGAAGAAATGATAAGATTTTCTCACCAAATTACAGATGTGTGTTTGTTTGTTACTACTAATACTAGTAAACTACTGGTATCTCATTGAGCGTTTCAAGTTGTTTATAACTGTTATCTACAGTGCCAAGCTTACCATAACAAGCCTCCCATGCACATCATTTGAATTCAATTAGCTACAGAAAAAACAAACTGCTTTCATCAACTTAACACTTCGTAATCAATCAAGTGGAATTGTTTGTTTGTTTATTGTTTACATGTGAATAGACAACGTGACAAAGGGTTTTCTTGGCAGACAAAACTCGGCACTCCACAGCTCCTCACAGTTGTCTGTTGTTCACCCTCCCCATCGATCCAGGAAGTGGGGAGGGCAAAATTTGTTCCCGCAACTTTTATTCTGACACCAAGCGTTAAATTTACGGGGTATCTAAACAGCAAGGGGCGTAGTATAAATCATAGAACCGTGTTATATACGCCAGCGGTGTCAACAGAGGGGTGAATGTCAATGTTAACGGCTGGAAAGCCTGTAAAATTTGCGGAAGTAAAAGAGGAGCTTACTCGTCAACACAACAGAACTGGACCCACAGTTCTGTGAAATACCAGGGAAATGTCGGTATGTTGGAGGTGACCAGGACTTGGGTTGGACCTTACCTTCAGTATGGAGCCCTTGGCGAAGCTCAGTTCGTCTTCTGCTGTGGCTTTAAAGTCATATTTCGCGATAGCTTCCATGGTTGGGACGACCACTTGGAGCCAAGTCTTTTTAATCTGGACCCGCACGACGAAGTGAAAAATGGACGGTGATCCGTATCTGTGGGGCCGACGGCACACGGCCAAACTTCCAGCGCAAACAACGCTTCCGACTCACACGGGAGATCCCAGACGTCCTTATATCCTTCCGAGGAACCCTGCAACTCCTCAAGAAGTGTGGTAAAGTCCAAGAAGTTTCCGAAAGTTGGGGAAAATCCAGTGCGATGAGGCCCGGAAATGAAGTGACTCCAACTCCCTTCCTCCAGATATGCAAATTAGTTTACCCAGTCGCAGTGCTCTGTCCTGGACGTGCGTGTATCCTTCCGCCGCACAGTCAAACATCCAGCAAATCGGACATTTCGTGTTATGCAAATGCGGGAAAAGAAATATTTCATTCATAATGGTTAATTTCCTATGGAAAATACAAACCTGACCTACCTTGTACAAATTTTGGCAAAACTGTTATTGGGACCCCCAAGATACCTTTCATTGCAATGCTATTTGGTTGCAAATGCAAGTCTATATTGCAAGACTATTAAAAATGATCGGATTCTTCTTTTCACTCCAAGTTTCAAACACAAGTGAAGTGAATAACTTTCGATTCTCGATACATGAATCGCTTCAATATCAATTTCCTGGCAATCCAAAATCATTTTATGATTTGATAGGGTTGGTAATCTAAGTATGTTGCACTATTATCAATTTCTACTTTATCATAGTCATTCAGAATTACTCAGAACGATTTTCTTGAACAACTTGTCACAGTTTTCAGAACTTTTTGTAGTTGGGCGTAAGGATATTAGGAACTTGAGACCATCAGCGCACCCAAACTCCCGGATGTTAGAGGTCACCGTAGGTCAGTTCTCACTACTTCCGTACATGCGTAGTACGACCAACAATCATGGCGGCTGGATCGAACCAAAATACACCTGTGGACGGACTTGTTGATGTTTTCTTTATTTTTCCAGCGTTTTAAACAAGTGAGCAAGACAAATCTTTGCCTAGATATTTCTTATACTTCGCTCTTTTGATTTCAGTGCATTTAAGCTGATATTTTGGTTTCTTTCGTCCCGTAGTTTGCAGAGAAAGAGAGAGAGTATGCTGACCGTTAAAAATTTTGTACCGCAGTGATTTAGAAACGCAGAGCACAGTGATGTGTATGTGATGTGCGTCAGTGGCGTCCGCTGCGGGGTGACCTTCCGACGTCTGCGTCACCATGGTAGGTGGGAGCATCCCTCTACTGACGTCGTGACGCACGTTCCAGCGTGGGTCTGCGTCATGACGTTGTTAGTTGGGCGTTCAACAGGTCACGTTCAAATTATTAAGTCGTCATCTGTTGCTGAGGGCAGACCTGTGCAAAACTATGCATAATGAGGGTCTGCATGCCCTTCTCATGAGGAGTAGCAAAATTTTTCAATTTCACTGTAAATCACATACGTAGTCAGCCTGCTTGAAATCAGTGTGAAGCATTGTTGTTATATTCGTGAAGCATAATTACCTTGATACTAATTACCTTAATTTGCAATGATTCTACATAGCATGTCCTTAGCCTGATTAAATCGCTTTTGCCGGCCGCCCAACATCCAGCCGCTCTTGGGTGGCGGACTATGTAGGGAGCCCCCCGGAGCTTGGGTTACATAGGCTAGCATGTCCTTTGCTATCCCAAACACCAGATTGCCCGAGAGTTACAATGAAATGTCAGACTGTGTCAGCGTTCGTAGTTTAGCCTAAGGTGGTTCAACTTTGTTGAGCTAGACAACTCACGAATACCATGAACTCATTCACAAAAGCCTTTCCAAGAACAACTTGATTCTCTTCTTACTGTTGCTGGGCCTCCTGAATGTTGCCGGGATCCCCCCATGCAAACCCTCATAATTTACTCTCCTGAACCTGCACAACAATGAATCAAAATGGCTGCACGTAGACTGTAGTCTCCTGCTACCCCTGCTGTGGTCTCTTGCCACACCTGTCTTGTTGCTGCATTATGTATGATTTACGATATGGTACAAGTGGGGCATTTAAGTGGCTGGAGCATCCTCCTGAGAGTTGGAGAATGTAGCTTTTATTTGATGATAAAGTGACTTCTAATCTGTCTGGACCCAGAACCATTGTGTTGAGTGATGTCTTATAAGACTCGTGGGAGATGTTAAAACACTCCAAAAATCTCACAAGACTATAGCTGTCTTCAGAGATTTTTTTTGATAACAACTTTGTACAAGCTAAGTTAGACTAACAAAACTTTGACTTATTTTTTGAATGACTCAGAATGAATTTGAAATGCTGAAAAGTGGAAAAATTTAACAGCTTTAGATTCAAACATCTCTTAAAGTATGGAATTGATGGCAGAAATAAAGTAGACCTCCCAACAATCCACTGCCTGTACAGCCTCAAAAAAGGCTATTTGACTACCTTTACCTTCCTTCACCTCTTGTGAAAACGTATGGTGAATTGTGGTCTATAGGAGATGACAAACGGCTGCCCTGTGGGCCTGACCACCAGCGAGGGTCTGGACATCCTCCATACTGACATCTCCAGGCTACTCAGGGAGGTGGACATCAAGAACAGGACTGGTAAGCCACACAGCGCAGGGAATAACATTCACAGTTAGAATTCTAAGTTGAGGTGGACATGTTTTTGATTTGATGTACCGGTAACCAGCTTCCACCACATGTCTGTCAACCATGTGTTATACCACAGTGCCGTTCAGTGGCCAAAGGGTGCAAATGATTGACTCAGAAGCGTACCATAGTTGCAACTCACTGTAACATCATGGCATGATTCCTAACTACAATGTCATCTCATTCTTTGCTCTACTGCTGCATATCGCCAGTCCAGGATGACAAAATATTTTTTTGTGCGTCTTAGGGAAGAACAGTTGGGCACCATTCCACCACCGGAACGTGCGGTCCACGTTGCCATGGACGACCATCGCTATCTGGGTGCTGCAGGGTGCCGCGCTGTTTGTGGCATACGGGATGGTGGCACAGGACATGGACAGGTCAGGGAGAGTACATGTACATGACATTATGCTGCTCAAGTTTTTACATGCATTTGCATAACTTCTAGGAGAGACAGCCTTGTTTAGGAAGCCTTTGTGTTATGTTTGTTGCCATGGTGATTTTCTATCCTGCAGGAGGGACAGCCTTGTTGTGGAGGCCTTTGTTGTCCTGCTGGTTGCCATGGTGAGCTGTTACCTGACAGGGTGGGACGGGAAACTCCATCAGGAGGAGATGATTGACAAGGTCAAGGTCGCTCTCAAGGAGATTGAAGGTCAGGAAAACATGGTTCCCTAGCATTGATGTGAGAAAGCATTTGATATCACATCAATAAACAAGGATAAATGATTTATTGATTGATTGATTGATTGATTAAGTGAGAGAGTGAGAGTGAGTAAGTGTGGGATTGAGTGAGTGTGAAAGAGTGAGTGAGTGGCTGATTGATTTATTGATTGATTGATTGATTGATTGAATCCCCAGGTTGTATCCAGTCCTGTTGTGAGTTGGGTTGGGAGGAGAAGCTGTACCCTGACCTGTACATGCCGTCCTGTCCTGCCATCACTGCCACATGGACGTACCGGGACGGTCAGCTGGTCAACCTCCCGGCTGCACTGCTGGTCCGAGGTGACATCATCACTCTCAGGCCTGGCCAGACCACACCAGTGCGATGTCGTCAGCTGGAGGTATGGACTTTATTACTAGGTCTATTGTTTACTGTGCTACATATAACAAACAAACAAACAAGCAAACAGATGAACAAAATGCTTTGACCCCTTTGACACAGGGTGACAGTTCCCTGGAGCTCCAACCAGGTGACACCTACAGCCCCTCTGTCCCAGACTCCGAGGAACCCCCTTCCAGCCCCCGGTCGGTACCCCCCCTCAAACCCTGCAGGTTCCTAGTGACACAGACGGCTTTCACAACCAACATCAGGTGATGGTTTGATTGTTACTGTAGCTGTAATTATAGTGAGGAAATGTTTGCAAATTAAACTCTACCAGTTATAATGTACATGTTGTAATACATGTAAAGGCTCAAACAAATGAGTCTTCAGACTTCATTCTGGCAGATGACTTCACTCTAAGAACATCAGGTGACCTCATCTTAAGAACTTGGAGATGAGACTGTGTAATTCAAATCATTCATAACTGCTATGTGATACCCTGTGTGCAGAATGTGTCTGGAGAACTGCCATAGGAGACCGGTGAGTGTGCAGGACAGAGAGAGACACGACATCCACAGACTGGTGGAGTGGCGACTGCTACCTCTCATACTGGTCAGTATGTAGATTCATGCTTCCAGAAGACTAACAGTCATAAACAAAAACATACTTTGTAGTCCAACAGGAAAACATACTGTTTTTGCTCTGTTTCTTCTCGTCCAAACAAATAAGGTCAATGATCCTGGACCAGAGGGCTGTTACCATGGTAACTGGTAATGTATTAGACCCCCTGTGGTTTTGCATTACACTATGTAGCAAGATCACAACAACAGATGACTAGTCATCAACATATTCCTTACACAGCTTGTACTTAACCAGGTCCAAGAACATACTAGAGAATTGGAGAATTGAACTGGTTTGTTACACCAAAGTGTTACCTGTACATATGAAGCAATTTGAGACATGCACTAACCATCCCAAACTCTCATTCCCCAGGCACTGGTACTCCTGGTGAACCTGCTGAGGTACTTCCTCTTGAGAGATGATGTGGGCCACTGGGCTGAGATGCTGCTTGCCCTGCCTGTGAGTCAGTCTGACTCTTCAGAATAAACTACAAACTTTCGGAACTTGTTGTAGAATGATTGTTGTTGCTTCTTGCTCTGGAGTTGCAATTTTAAGTGGTGCAGGTAAAAGTTTTCTGGTGCAGGTGATTTTCAATGTTGCCTGCACCAGTGCATGTATGCAGAAAAAATTATTTAGACAATGTACAATCCTGTCTGTCTACTCCCAGGTGTACACCATCCTGCCATTGTTACCTCCCCTGTTCCCCTGGCTGTGGCTGGGGCTGAACACCTACGGCACTGCCAGGGTGCTCGCACTCATGCAGGCCGGGAAAACACAACAGGTCAGAACTACACAGATTAACTGATTTTAATTGATTGGTTGATTGATTGATGGATTGATTGATGGATGAAGTTGTAATTGACTAGTCAGTACATTATGCAACATGTACTTACTGTTGTTCTAATTATAAAACTACATGTACAACCATACAAAAAATAAGGTTGATTGACTGACAGGTTGTTTACTAGTAGTCATTGAGGCACGATTAAAAGTAAAGAATATTTCAACTAAATCAACTAATCAATGCCTCTTTTTTCCTTGCCCAACATGCCACCAGGAGTATTGGAGCTTTGAACATGTAAGATTGAAACATGTAAGGTCTCTGTAAGATCCATGTTTCGTATAAACATCTTGATGTTTCAAAATCTCAGAAAAAAGAAATACAGATTGAATTTTTGTTTGGGAGTCTTTTTGTTCACAAATAAAAAGTGTAATAGTACTACTACTACATTAACTGTACAGTGACTGTTTTGCATTGTAATTCTTGCAAATTGGAGTTAAAGCAAATCACTGTCTAAGTGATCGTCCATTAACTCAGAATACTGAGAATCAAAATGGTGTAGTGCAGTTGGTTACTAGAGGATATTAACCAAAATCACTGCTAAAATCTAATAGTTTTCTAGGTTAATTTCCTAGTCCTTTTTTTTCTAGTGAGATCCTTATAATGGTTACTAGTACGTTGTTAGCTTGTTAAGTAGTTACCTAGTTAGCTGTGTGCCTAACCAGTAGCAGTACTCTAGGTGTTGTCTGTGTGTGCAGATTGATGTGTTTGAGGAGGAGGAAGAGGAGAGGTTCCTGCTGACACAGGTGACGGGAGGTCCTCCCAGCTACACACCCTCACCACACCTCACCAGCAATGTCATCTGACAAACTGACATTTTAACTTCCTTGAAAATATCCAGAAACTTCCTAAAATGGCCCTAATTATAAGCATAGTGTTGTTCTCTTGACTCACATGTTATTGGGAAGGGACAACCTCCACACGCAGTTATATGAATGTGAGCTTATATTCCACTGTTCATTGTACAAAATTACAAAACAGTGGGAGAACATCTCATTACTTTTACTTCAATTACACCTTCTGTCCTATGCTAATATTACAACAAATGAGATCATAGGATTATTACCGTTTTCTTAAATAAAGGCGCAAACAAACAAACAAACTTTATCGTGGGTGTGGTCAGGTCAGTGTGGCTGGGTGGAAATATTGAGTCATGCACGTTTTCTCCTGCTGTCATACTTGTCTTGTAGACTTTTGTAGTATCTTACAGCAAGACTTGAACATAACAGTACAATAGGTTATATACTCGGTGAGAATGTTAATTGTTTCCTTACCTGTACTGTACTTTTACTATAACCTGTGTGTCTGTATCAGACTGATGATATACTACGGTGCACAACTTCAATTCAAGTCAACTCACTGATTTTGAAGTGGTATTTGCACTTTTCGAACAAAATCAGTTGTTGAAGATGTGTTTCAAAATGGGTGCCCAGTTCTCAGTACTCAGTGCCTGCCTGTCCCTTGTTTAGAGCCTTCCAGTCCAGTGGAGGTCGGTAAGGGTCCTGATGTGGGAGGTTCTGACAGGCAGGACGGAAAGTCTACCACGGACAGCTAACATTCTCCACACACTGGGCAGTGTTACTGTGAGTCTGCTGTCTTTACTAATGTGCATGTGGTAACATTTTACTGTGCCAAAAAGTGGTTACTGCAATTTTTTGTTGATGCTATAAGAAACATCTGTCAGCGGCTGTCTTATATGTAGGGTTTACCTTTTCAGGCACTTTGTTGTGTAGACAAGAGAGGGGTCCTCTCCTGCCCAAATGCCTCTCCCGAGAAAGTCTTCTTCCTCACATCACTAGAGGATGATGGGATGGGGTCAGATGTCAGCAGCGAGACTGACCCGAAAAGTAACAACCTTGCAGAAAATATGGTCAACAGCAGCAGAGAGGATGTAAACATAGATTTAGAGACACGGGATGTTTCATTTAAAGCCAACACAGAACTCTTGCAGAGAGACAAAAGTGTGGAAAACAAGGAAACGCACAGACCTTCTAAGAAACAGACTTCAAACACACCCGCAAAATCACAAAGTCAAGAAAACCTTCAAAAAGATGCAGTTGTAGACACAAAAGCAGTTTTACAGGAGTCGTTTTCTGAAGAGGAGTTTTTTGAGTGCCATGCAGAAGTTCTGGACATCACAGCAGACCCACACAGCTCGTCAGGGATACAGTTTGATGATACCAGATGGGAGCGACACCTCAACTCACTCAAACCACTGGTGAGGAATGGAGGGAGAATTTGAGATTTATATTTTGTCAAAACACATACTATGCCCAGGTTGCTTGTACTGTCTGCACTTAATCCTACATCATCATTGTCAGTTAAAGTGACTTGTTTTGTTCTGTTTTGTCTGCAGGGTTTGAACATCTTGTTGAACATCTGTAACCCTCTTGCCGTGGAAAGGAATTCCAGCTTCATGGATCATCTGAACTGCGTATCAAGAGACATGGGGGGCAGGGCCATTCTCAGGTATAGGAGGTAAGGGTTCAAGTCCCAGCTCAAATACCAACTTGCAGTCTGCAATTTACATAATTATATCAAACATTCTTAAACATTAAAGATGCAGAAAATGACACATCAAACAACTTGGAATTTGGCAAACCAATTTACAAGAGCACAGACTTTGTATTTTGAATCACATGATAATTGTAGAAAAGGAGTTTAAGCCCTGACATTTTTCCGACTCTGTAGATGTTTATGTCAGCTGGTGCACCAGATCGGATTCTCAGACAAAGTGCTGGAGCTGTTTAAGCTGAAGACACAGGTGGCTGCGTACCGAGGCCTGGGAACCGGGCTAGGGCAGGACCAGCTAGCCAGGAAGAGCTCCTTCCTCAGAAACAAGCTGCCCATGCCAAATATGGTGTCTGTGGTCACCAAGGACTACACCACAGGTGATGACAGATATCGTGGGGTTACAGAATTGTTAATCACATAGTTTCTATTTCTTTAAAGTCTATCAATTAGGTTAAGACATCAATGCTAATGCATGTACAGTTTACTGCATGTACAATACAGTAAACTGGAGCTTATGAGAACTATAACAGCCAAAGCCAAGCATGATGGCATGCATGAAGTTTCTTAATACAATCATATATATAAGTTGATGATGCGAAGTTCGATGATGCACAAAAAAAATAGAATGATAATACTGTTTGCAACACACACAAAAATTGATTCTATATATCAAACTGACCTCAGCAAGCCTGTTTTTTTTCTGTACTTAAGCTAATGAAATTTGATAGTAAACATTTACGTGTATATTACTAACTTTGACATTTGACCTTGTCATTAGGCATGCTCCAACTGCTGACCCACGGAACAGCTGACATTGTGCTGGACAGCTGCACTGACTTCTGGGATGGTATCGACCTCTGCCCTCTAACAGACAAAGATCGGTAAGGCAGCTGAAAAACACCTCGAATGTATCATTCACTCCCTTGCATTTTTGGGGACTCATGCACTTTGCCATCTAATATATGAACCTGAGCTAATAGGTCTACACTTTGCTACATTCAGTTTTATGGAATGAATATAAATATGCAGGTTTTCCTCCCAGTCCCGTGTTTTTGTGAGATCCCCTTGCTGAACTTGTACATAAAATTAAAACAAATTGTTGGTTAACCAGGGACAAAGAGGACTTAGTAGGTAGCTAGGGAAGTTTGAATTGTGCTGTATATTACAGTTACTTCTTTGGTAAATATATCATTTGCAAAAACTAACACTACACGTTTGTGTCTTTTGCAATACAGGAAGAAAATTCTTGACTTCTACCATCGCATGAGCCTGTCTGCTTACTGCTCAGCCTTTGCCTACAGACCTCTGGAGAAGGTGGGAATTTCACCAGAGTGCCTTGTATATCTTACATGTATTCATATGTATGCCTGAAAACAACAGTGTTTACATGTTTTACAACTTTTATCTGATTGTGTTAAAATGCATAGAATATATTATAGAATTAGAATTAAAAAAAAAAAAGTAAGCAATACAGAAGTACGGCTGATGCAAACTTTCAGAAATTCCTGAATAATTTTTATAAAAGACTTTTATGTCACCAGTCCAAAGATGGAAAATAACCAAGGTGAATGACCCCACAGGATGAGGTTGCCCCCATCCCATTGGACGAGCAGAAACCAATCAGTGTGCAGGTAGAGAAGTTTTATGGGAGTATCTCAATGATGAAATCACTGAAATGATCCAGTCATTATAACAAGTAATCAATTTTTTTTTCTAATTCCAGAGGTGATAGACTCTAGGCATTACCGGTAATATCTCCAAGTCTAGGGTTTTGTATTGGGTAAAAATTACAACAGACTGCAATAATTCAATCATTATAACAAGTGATCTACATGTATCTCCAGGATCAATCATGGCCAATCTCTTTTTTTTATGTTAACTTTTCTCATTTAAGTGGTGACTTACTCAGGGCTTAGTTTCAATTGATACTTGCACAATCACAATGACCAACTGATATTCTTTCATGACTGTGGCTTCGTCACCAAGATTCACCAAATGAACATATTCAGTTGAAGAATACTGTGAGGATTTCTCAGTATGAAATTCCAGACCTTGGATTATTCCTTGTTACATGGAAGAATAACTATTTATTTGACAATAATGAATCTTCAGATAAATACTGATGCCAATATAAAACTAAGTTTGCTTCAAATTTATTTTATACCATAATTGTTAGTCCATGCAATAGCCAGAGAAAGAATAAAGGATGGAAGACAAAGAATCTCTGCCACAAAAAAATGCACCTTTTCTTATACCTGGAAATCTCAATGTGAAAAATCTAAACCATTCCCAACAACAAAGTGATCAAATATGTACAAGCCAAAGTTTCTTTTTGATGAACTGTTTTTGTGTTTGTGTAGCCTGTATCCAGGCATCTTGGCGAGGTTTTCTATGAGCTGCCTGTGAGGGAAATGGACGAGCCAAGAGGACCTGACACACCTGTGTCTGATACACGGTAACCATGGCAGTCTTCCTTTCTGTATCTGCATCTTTTAGCAAAACACTGCATCTATGTGGGGCTGATTTCAGACACCTCCTTTTGAAGATTTTACCGTAAGGTTTCCAACTTTTACTGAACAATGTATTTGACAATTTGCATGTGTCATGTGCTATGATTTTTAACAACTATTAGTTTCAGGAAGTGAATATACTAGTCAACTGTATGTTTTTCTCTCTTGCTCTCGTTGTCCTGACTTGCTAAAGTATATCGGGAAAATGTACAGGTCATAGCAGTTGTCCAAATTTTCAGTTTGACACATTCATTTTGATGGTTACCCCATGGTTAGCTAAGTCCTTCGCATGGAAAAGCGCTCATGTTTTGTTAATGCTGGTTTGCAGACCAGAGGATCTGTCCTCCCCTATACTGACTGATCCCAGTGGGAGCCTAGGAGATTCTAACCACTCCCTGTCTTCTCATGGCAAGGGTCGGACCATCAAAAAGGAGCAGGACTGGTTCAGGTGGGTGTTAGGGACTCTTGAAATCATCATGCATGGGCAGTACTAGTTGGGTGCTAGGGAGTCTTGCTTGCATTAGGTATGGATGGTCAGGTTCAGATGAGTGTTAGGGAATCTGTTTTGGCAGGCCAGATAAATTTTGTGCTGAAGTTTTCTTATCTACGACTTATGCTATAGTAGTTAGTAACCCTTTTTTATGAATTCCTCTAGAATTTTCATATTCTTATATTGCAGTGCTCAGAGCAGGCAGGTGTTCATAGGGATGGTGTCAGCGCAATACCAGGCCAAACAAGTGAGTTTCTAATTCTGATGTAACAAATTTGTTGTTCATTGTAAGATCTTAAAACTGAATGTTGCCACTGTCTTGTTCCCCAAGAAACACTCTGTTTCTGTTGGTTATACTCAGGATGTTGTGCACATGATTGAGGACCTGGACACGGCCTGTATCAGGTTTGTCCACTTCTCAGCCGAGGATGAACTCAGGAGCAGGGTAGGTGACTCTTCTGCTTGTCTGGTAGAATTCTTGGAGTTTTGAAAGCTTTAGACTGTTTTTACACTTTGTTGTTTGACTAGTGACTCTGGGTTCTGGAACAAAAGTTTGAATAGAGACTTATTGTTGATGTTGTTGCTCTTCTAACTTAACCTTCTAACTTAATCTTCAACTCTGACCTACAATTCGACTTGACCCTAAGAACAGCATGTGAAAAAATTAATGCATTTTACGACATCTAAAAATGCAACTGTTACAGCAGTAACCCCTAGTATTTAAGGTATCGAGATCTTCCAAGGCACAGCCTCAATTGAGAAGGCCTCAATTATATGATGCTAAGATACGCTTTGAAATTATAAGAGGTGACTTAACATGGGAATGGGAATGGTTTGTCAAAAAGGGCAAGGGAATTTTTCTACTTGATGTCAGAACCAATAGATAACCTTTTTTTGTAAGCTCAGTGACAGATACAGTTTGCCTTTTCCATTCTACAGATCTTCTCAGAGAAGATGGGTCTGGAGGCGGGGTGGAACTGTCACATCTCTCTCCTGTCCTCACCGGAGGACCGATCAAGGCACAGCTCAGGACCAGATGGAGACAGGTCTGTTTATATCGGGTACTTACTCACTCACTCAGTCACTCACTTACTCACTGTCCGGTTTAATGTCTCTTCTTCCCTGTCAATATGGGTTAAATGTACTGTTGCATATTGAAGCTGATGAGGCTTGATGGCAGCCTGCCATTTGCTGCTATCCTACATGGGTTCACGCTGTGTAAGTTGATGTCTGGTGGAAGTTCTCTCTTAGTCTATCCTATGACTTATCTGTGTTTCAGTGTTTTTTTGTTTGCAGTGGCACCTCCACTGCAAAGTCATGGCACTACAAGTACAACATGTACTATGTGTTTCTTTTGTTACTGTATTACTACTGTACTGTTCTTCAGAAATGGTTTGTTTGCCTAAAGTTTGTTTATGTTGCACCCCATGTCCAGATCACGACACAGCTCCGGAGACACGGAGGTCCCCGCACGGAGAAGTAAACTCCAGCTGCTGGGGAGCCATGCAGAGGAGAGAGTGCCAAGTCAGTACTGATTTTTTTTTCAAATTTTGAGGCATTTTAAGTTTAAAATAATCATAAATTACTTCACCCCAAAGGGAGTGAGGTATTATTTTGGGCCAATCTGTGTCTTTTTTTTCTAGCCTTATGGCAATGCACCATGGGTAAAAGGGGTGAAGTCTGCCATATCTTAGATTGCCTAATGTTATGGAATTTTTATAAAGCATTTAGTATGACATAGTGTTGATATATCATTATGATGATAGATATATTATGATATATTTGTACAGATAATGACTGCAAAATTTTGTGTTTGAAAATAAAATTGACCAAGCATTGATCCTCTCTCTTGACTGTGTGTTTTGTGTCTCCAGTTTTAGAACATTCACAAGTGACGTTCAGGGATGAAGTCTCGGAGCATCTCCTACCAGAATCCCCCGAACACAACGTCTTGGACATCAACAGAGATTCTGGTAGAAACTTAGACGTACAGGACTTCTCAGGAAACCAGGGTTCCACAGACGGGGTAAACGTTTCGCGTCAGTGCAGCTACGAGAGCCAGAACTACAGATATGGCGGAGAATTTGGGTCACAGGACAACGTCCTAATAAGGGATGATCGTCATGATGACATCATTTCCATGGAAACGGATGTGACGAGCCATCACAGTGACGTCTTCGACATGACAAACAGGGTAAAGGTCATTCCTACAAGTTTCTAAGCTTAAACCTGCATGAAGCTGCTATATCCACTAAATAACTTCATAAGTTGATTCTCAGATTTAAGACAATAGTAAACTGCTTCTTAACACTAACAGTACCAATTCCCAAGTTTGATGAGGTAATAGCTAGACGAGCCATTTTTTGGGTGAGTCTAAAAGCATGCACTTTAGTCCCATTCTGGAATCTTAAAAAGGTGAGGCTGCAAAGCATCACTTATCTTGGCTACTTCCTTCCAGGCAAAGCTCCCCAGAGGCATAGACAACATCAGACCACATCTTGAGAATGTTGACAATGTGCCCCTCCTGGTGCCGCTCTTCACAGACGCCACTCCTCAAGGTAACATCCTCTTACTCCTCCAAGGAGTCCATCAGACTTAAAGATAGAAGGTCTGGTGTACTCCAGTGCAATCAACATACACCTCATCTCACCTGTCCATTAGTCTGGTTGGTGGTTGGGAAACCTACCAGTTCCCTACAAACAGAAGTATTATGAAGCTTCTATTTACATTCAACAACTTATATATATATATATATATATATATATATATATATTAAATATAGTCATGTACTTGAATGTGTGATATGTGATGAGGCAGTTTGTTTGCCAAACAATTCAGCTTTATGTGTGACATTAGATATCTATGTACAATATGATCTGAATAGCCTGTGATCTGGTGGATAGCATTTCAGCACCAAGGACAAGTCTCGCCCTGTGGCCATATCATATAATGGCTCAATGACCAAAGTTCAGCACAGTTTTCATGTTTTCTTGCCTTTTTTAGCTACCAAGGAGATGCTGAAGATCATGCAGGAGTATGGGGAGGTTGTGTGCTGCGTGGGGAGTTCCACCAACATACAGAACACCGGGGTCTTTCTACAGGCAGATGTCAGGTAAAGGGACAACCTACTGGACACAGGCAGTTGTGGAGTAGTCATGATCAGACACATTCAGTACCGGTATCACACTGCTGTGTGAGTTGTGTTTAACTTTAATGAGCTATGTCAGGACAATACCCAGGGTCCTGGAATCCATTATACGTCTGATGTGTACAAAATTATGCATTTGTCAGATCCCTTGGGCCAAAATATAAGAAGAATAGATAGGGAATGCAGATTTCATGACCCCATTTTTTGGTACCCTAATCTGAAACACAACAGTTACTGTTCAATATAAATTCCTCGGCCTTACATGTCCTATAAACTCATAAACTTGGTGTCTTATATAAGCCCATTTGGGCTGAGCAGCGTGTAGTCACAAGACACAATGATAAACTTTCATTCATTTGTTCATGCATTCATAAACTATTTTGCACCAGATGTCTTCCTTTAAGACATTACACCCATACAGCAAACTGTGCCTGTGCCACACATGTTAAACACTAATTAAAATCTCTTATTTTTCCCCACCAGTGTGGCAGTGGAGCCAGGGTACCCGCAGCTGTGCATGCGGCACGGTGCCCCTGCGGTGTCACAGTGTCAGGAGAAGGGCTCCTCACCGTGTCTGTTGAGCTGTGTTCTCAACACCCTGCCCTGTTCCACAGTCTTTGACAAGGAGCACAACTACACCAGCATACTGCTGCAGATGATACAGGAGGTCAGGCTTATGTGTACAGCCTTCTTATTGGCTAAAATTGTAACACATTAGGCAACATGGCAAGTTTACATGCATGTTGCTTCCAGTTAGCCATCAGGAATGTGTATTTTGAAATGTGTATAGCAAGGAATTCTGTGATGGGTCTATATTCCTTCTTGACAGTAACCAATAGAGAATTGGTGTGCAGAGCAGTTACCGGTATTATGATGGAGGTCTGGAAAAGCTGCTGATCTAATGTCTGGAATCATGTTGACCCCAGGCTCGACACCTGGTTCTGTGCATCAAGAACTGCTTGCTGTTCCTGTTGGGCTGTCAGCTGTCTATTAGTCTGGTGCAGGTTGGTTGTTTTGCTTGCTTGTTTGTGTTAGTTTATTTGTTTTTGGTATAGCACAGCTGCTCAGTGTATAGAAATGGAGACAGGCACCACCCTTACATAAAATTCAAACTTAACTTAAACTGGTTTAGGATAGATTTCAATCCTTTTCCACCAGGTCTTGTCTGCAGTTGTCCTCCTCCCCCCACCGCTGAGCGGCGGCCATGTTCTCTGGCTGTCGTGTCTCGTTGTGCCAGTCCTCAGCGCCTCGCTGGTCGCCAAGGAGGTCGACAAAACGGTCATGACTCTGGCACCAGGAAAGAACCAGAATCACCTGCCAGTGGAGGTAGGACTTGATCTACCTTTTATTTTTGTTTGTTTCATATTTGTTTTTGTATTATCTGGCATATTTGTAAACTAAGCCACCTTTTTGCTTGGGTTTGTACAATTAAGTAGTAACAGTAAATATTAAATACATTGCACATGTTGAATGTGGTCTGTTGTATGTGCACATTTGTTTCTATGTTTTATAACAACAGAGTCACTCTATAGTCGTTTTAAGATATATCTGACCCCCCCACTAGCCTAAGGCAGACATAAGTGTACTTGGACTTGTTCTAATAGATAAAGATTGGTCATTAGATCTTCACAGGTAAGTTTGGATGCTCATGTTTTCCTGAATGCTAATCTTTTCTTTCTTCATTATCTTAAATGAATTTTCAGGTTTCCTGAATTTCCCATGCTCTTCCAAATGTAAGAAGTTGACCATTTGTTTGGTGTTGTTGTATCAGTCCCTGCTGCAGTTCACGCTGCACTACGCGGGCAGGTTTGTCCCGTCCCTGGCCGTCTGTCTCCTGTGTTTCGCCCTCGTTCTCCATGCCGTCTGCTCCAAGGTCTCCCCACCTGGCACCTGTCATCCCATGTTCGGAAACAGGTAACAATAGAATTGTCACAACCCTTTTCTTAAGTCACAAGATCTACCTTAAACAATAGCATTAGTTGGCCAATCTGGCTGCATGTACATAAGGTATATCATCCAAACAGATAAACATTGTTTGCAATGTTATGGCCTTCTTTAGGGAAGTGACCCCTTACTTTGTTTGGTAATGACTTATTAGTGATTGCGGAAAGGTGTCTATGAAGTAGCTTCTTGTCATAGTTGTCTTGACTTTTCTGATACAGTACCAATCACCTTAAAGTTTATCTTTGTCAAAAGATCATAGACAGGTTGAACTCACAAGCATTTTTCAAAATTTTACAATTATACAAGTAATGACCATGACTGTGCCAAACAAAAATATGACCTTCATATCTTGCACACTAGAAGATTACACATGACCCTTGTGTACAATGACCTGACCTTGACCCTTGACACTTTTGTTCAGGAACCTGACCTTGTCATGGAACGACTACGAGGGTGAAAACTCGACAGGGCTGGTCCTGGCTCAGGAGTGCTGCTGCTTCCTTCTCATCATTTATTTTGGTGAGTCGTGAAGGGACAGAAGGTGAAACATTGCAATCATGTGGTGATGCAATGCACCGGCTATCATTGCTGATCATCGATGATGCTATACCTTACAGTTCGATGGTAGTGCCATGCCACATGACCATCAATGATGTATGAATCTAGTCCAATCCAACTTCTTAAATCCCAAATGTTTCTCATTCCTTGTCTTGTTTTGTTAAAGTTAGAAGAGTAGTGGTTGGCCCTCTTTCTCCAAGCAGCATGTCCAAAAGACATAAGTCCACTTAGTCTAGATGTGATAAAACCATCTTCATTTGTGATGAAATTCTTTTGCTGTTCCCACAAATCATCACCTCTGTACCCTCTCCTCTGGTAATTTCCTTCTCACAATCTCTGAATGTTTTGTTGACACATACTTTCCTGATATCACCTGTAGGTGTTACATCGATGAGCTATGTACACAGGTCCCATCCCCTCTGGAGAAGACCCCCCTTCACCAACAGAGTCTGGCTGGTCTGTGTCCTCATCATGTAAGTACCAACATATGTGAAACACCCGTTTGGTCCAGGTGTGAATTATCATGATGGTGCAACATTAATGACTGCACAGCTTCAACTGTCATTACCTCTGTGAGTTAGGCTGACCAAGGAAGTTATAACCCACAGAAATAAATTGGTTTGTCGGCGGCACAAATTAAATATCTATTCTCTTGGATGGCCTTTCTTTGTAGCTGAAGTATGCTGTATATTATGCTGTTTCTATGTTGAGAATGTCACTGTTTCTCCACCCAGTCTGATGCTGCAGGTTATCTACTTTGCCGTTGCCATGGCGATATCGTCCGCCAACCATTCGGTGCAGTTCTCCCTGCGGGATGTTCCGCTGTCGGCATGGTTACTGGGGTTACTCTGGGTCATTGGGCTGGTGGTTTGTAATGAGCTGGTCAAGCTGCACGAGACAAGGTAGGGCAGAACAACCCAGTTGGCTCTTCTTTGTTTCATTTTAAGCCTCTTCTCTTCTGCCTTTCTCTATTTGATTTTTTGATTGCTTGTTTGTTTTGTTTTGTTTGTTTGTTTGTTTGTTTGTTTGTTTGTTTGTTTGTTTGTTTGTTTGTTTGTTTGTTTGTTGGCAACTGATTCATGTTTTGAAGAGAGACATACACTTCAATTTACTTTTCTCCTCAGATTATCAGTGAGGTACCAGAAGAGAGCCAAGCTGCAGTTCGGAACCAAACTAGGAATGAACTCCCCTTTCTGAGCCAGCCAATCAGATTGCATATCAGGAACCTCAGGCTGTACCACTCAATCTCTGGGGAGGCAAAGGTGGATAAGATGAGACTCTTCAGCTTATGAATGACTATGTTTTCTCTAAGAAAGTGTCCACTTTTGTCTAGCATGTAAATTGTGAAACAAAAAAATGGTAAATTGTACATTGTATCACTAAACTGAGGCCCAGTATCAATTGTGCCATTTTTATTCTTTGTTGCATGGGAAATCTTCTTGTTAGCATGAACTATTTTTTTTTATTATAGGCTGTAATATTATTATTAGCTGAGCAACAGTTCATTTTCATTTAGAAAATTTTGAGAAATTCAAAGGAAAGAAATTAAAGTTTAGCTGAATGAGTTGATGCTTAAAGGTTCAACAGCTTGCTGCTTGTTCAATAAATAGTAGAAAGAACATTATAAACTGACACCCATGGATAGTCTTATCAGGTTGGCAAGAGACTAAATAAGAAGCTTCTTTATTCAACCAACATTTCAAGACAATGCTCGATGTTTGGAACTGCATTTGTAATAATAACTGCAGCAGCGACACCTAGCTGCAGTAAAATCAGATCCAGTCGTTGTTGCTGTGAAGTGGTGACAGATGGTCACCAAAACATCAGATGTAGAAACCCACTGGTTGTTGAATTAAGAACCTTCTTGTACTGTAGCCTGAGCCTTCAGGCTTTGAAATCAGATGGAGCCTCACCGTGGTCAGCTGCACAAGGTGGTTACCTGACCAGGTTTGACTGTACCATTAGATTAGAACTTATTGTAAAATGAGACTTAGTGTAGAAAAATGTTTCCTGTAAATGTAAAACAGAATTGCTTCAGATATGGTAGCTTGAATGCTTACTGTCTTCATATCAAAATTATAGCAATATTTTTGTAGCAATTGCCAACAAAGTCTTGAATGTGTACAAATGAACACTTGATTGTAAATGTACAAACTAATTCAGTGACCTAACAGTGTATCAAAGAAACTCTATAAACTTACTCTAAATGTGCTGGTTAATAGAATTACTAGTTTGTGCAAAGTGACTTACTTACCTTGAGCAAAAAAGTCCCCCCATGACAGTAGGTTGTTTTCTAATTTTTAATTCTGGTACCTCTTAGAGAATGGTAACAAAGGTCAGTCTATGCCAATGTAAACAAAAGTGGCTGAGTGTTGGAACATAGACATACATGACACGAATTTCCTTGGCAGCCTTTTTGTAACCCCTGCATCTCCTTATTGGATCAGTCTCTTATTACCTCTCAGTGAGTTGAGCTTGTCAGTAGCAAAATGTTATTGACTTAGGGAGATTAGATGCTGTTAAAGGCCATTCATGTACCATGTCCCATGATATGCAGGATTGCTTCAAACAGGTGCCGTCATATGTGTAACTTATATATATCCATGATGACAACTGTACGTGTTACATTGCCTTTTCTTGGTTACTATTTATGTTGTCACTTCCAGGAGTTTTCTTACATGCAAATTCTAAATATTCTAATCAGGAAATCAAAATTTATGTTGTTGTCCTGAAGAGAAGTGGTCAAAGCAAAAATTTGTTTGTCCAGTAACTGTTGATTTCTGTAGTTTTTATCTAAATGTATGGCAATACATACATCACAAATCTGGAAATTAAAATGACTATAACAATTGGTCCTGTACCATTGTAAGTGTCATTCATTTCACATATATCAAGGAAGATTAAAATCTTTAAGTAAGGATTATGTACTCTCTGAAGTTTATTCTGTCCAACTTTTTTCCTTTCTGAGAGGACAAATCAAAAGGACTGGAGTAACACAGTGTTTAAGATTCCGTGAGAAAGATTTTCCCTAGAAGAACTTTGTGGATCATGTATTGCTTGATAATGAGATAGCTGTGGCAATACATTAGACATAGAATTGACATGTGAATCGCATGTAACAGTGCTATGGGTATCCCCAATATGGGCCTAATTGGTGTGGGGTTGATGTTCAAGGCAGAAAGTGATGTCGGCAGTTGAACAACTTTTCAGATGAGTTGGAAAACACTGATGATGTCATCCCTCAGTACAGACCTGTGATATGATGGGTTGCTGCAGAAACTCGTTATACATTCACACAATCGCTCATTATACATTCATGCACAAGTTACATGACACCCATGCATAACTTATTGAGTTATGGAGAAAACCGGAAAAGTGACCACCAGACATGTGCGTTCTCTGACCAGAGCAAATACCTAGTAAAAATTTTTCCAACTGGACACATCTATACTAAAAGGCTCCGCCCCAGAGGCGTCGCCAAAAAATTGATATTCGCATAAGTTTACGGAATCATTCAATATAGCATACTTATGTATAATTTCTATGAAATGTACATCATTGATAATCAAATGAAATTTTTCACACAAAAAACTCGTGTGGGCATGGTGTGAACTCTGTACTTTGATATGTTTGCAAATTGGATGCTATGTTCAGTCTCAAGTCAAACCAAGATGGCGGGATTTGGTTAGATCTTTGTTGTGGAAGTTTTTCAAGGCCTCCTATCAGCACTTGATCAAGGAACGAAGCTTTGCATTCAACACGGGCCAAAGAAAAGCAGTCAAGGAACATCATGGTAGGTAGCAGGATATTGCCATTTCTTTGGACAAGCCGATATTGTCTGGGCTATCTGCCGACAGAGCCCCCCTCCCCACGTGTGCACACCCAGTCTAAAATACTCTAGGCCTCTAAAATAACCAAGGGGGTTTCTCTAGGTCTAACAAAGTTCCCTGTAACTTACTGCATTATTCTACTGCTTCTACACTTTGCTTGACAAAGCCCTGCTAATTGCATCACGTCCAGGATGCAAGAAATAGTAAAATTTGGGGTGCAGTGGTGCTGAAAAAAATTAAAAGTGTAACATAAAAATTATTTACTAACAACAAAACTGTTTTCCGTCAGCAACATCGAATTTTTGACTCACAGAAATCAGTATGCAGTATGAGATAGCATTGCTTGAACTTACTACATTAAAAGAAGGACCAGAAAAAAATTGACTCTGAAATTGCATTGGATACCTTTACCACATTTACTGCTTCTTGCCACTATATGTAGGCATTGTAGGTTGCCTAGAAAACACCAATACCCTATGCCTATGGTCTACCAACCTGAGGAAATTATTTTCGGAGGCACGACCACATGTATATTTGTTTCCCTCACAGATCCGCATTGCTGCGCTGAACGACAGCTCCAGTGATGAGAGCGACTCTGCCCCTCAGCTGGACACCACCAAGGAGGCTCGGGAGGCAGAGGCCTTCGCTCTGTACAACAAGGCACTGGGGATACAGAGATCAGGTACTAGTACTACTGTACTACTAATGTACTGAATTTGAATGTTAATACAGCTATAATAGTATTACAGAAGATGACTAGTAAATACCATGTTTCCTCCTATGATAATGTACAAATGTACCTGTAGGTAACCATGCAGCAGCAGCTGAAGTGTACCAGGCATTGCTGGATTCCAGCCTAGTGAAGGAGGCAGAACCACTGGCAGCAGATGGAGAACCCGAGGGGCTCATCCACCCAGGTGAGTCTTTAACCTTCTCCCTGCTGCCTTACCCTGTAACCAATAGAGTATAGGTAACCAGATGGTTAATTCAGAGTGCTCAAGGTTAAAAAGACAAGCTCTGAAAATCATAAGTCACTGAGTGATGGTAGAAGAGTCTCTTATGTCACCAATGTTCCCCAATGTTACCTGCACCAGTGCAGGTCTGTGGAAAAACATATTAAAAGCCCTGGTTATGAAACACCATCAACACCAGGGTTTTCCCCCAAGCATCCAGGAAAAAACCTCATCGACTTTACGATTTTTCCAGGTTTGCTCCTGAAGTACTCGGCCCATAAGAACATGGCAGCCATGTTGGCGCAGGACGGTAAACTGGAGGCGGCCATGGAGTCGTACCTAGAGGCTGTGAACCTGGACAGTTCTGACGTGACGGTGTGGTACAAGATGGGGACCGTGGCCTTACAGATACACAACTACTCACTGGCCAAGTACTGCTTCGAATGTGTAAGTACTGCATGATCTACATGTAGGCACATGAGTGAACAGCTGAACTGCATCTCAATTTCGGTCGTTGATGTACATATTGATATCAATTAAGATGATTCCCTGTCCCTATTGTTTGAGATTAAGCTGCCTGTCATATTGCTTTGCCACTCTTTATCAGTTAACAACATGCTGGCAAGTACATATACAAAGCAGCTGCTAGTCTGAAAGTATTTACTTGTCATTAAAAATGTACACATCTTCCTTTTTGGTCTCACTACAGGGTTTAACCTGTAACCCAAAGCACTGGCCCTGCCTTGACAACGTCATCACCCTCCAGTATGCCCTGAACTGTTACGAGCACTGCTTGGACACCATCTCACAAGCCTTGGAACGTGAACCCCACTACGCAAAAGGCCTGGCCTTCCGCAACAAGATTTTTGCAGAATACCCAGACTTCCGAAAGGATGCCCAACAGTTGTTCCGACTGTGTGACCCGTGTATAGACACTGCAAAGGTTGATGAGGAGGAGGCTAAACAGTTCATCAAAGAGGCTCTGGACATGCGTGAGAAGCGGCGAGAACTGAGACGCAGACCCGAGGATCCTGTCGTTCCCTTCTCCAAACCGCTGACATCCATAACCTGGAAAGCTCTCGGAGAGAGTTTGGTGGCGACATATGATTACGTCAAGACTGCTGAGAAACCAGTGACGATTGGTTGTCGGGTTGACGTGACTCCATACTTGGGATCGTCCGCTAGTCGGGTGACGTCAGCGCCGGAAATAAGAAGCCCCGGGAGTGAGGTAACGGTGTCCTCATCCGTTACCGTCCAGCCAACAGCTCCCATTCCTGTTGTCACTGCTAGTGCTTCAGGCATACAAACAGGGCCCATTCTGCAGCCTCATGTCATTGTACCTGCAACAGGCACTCAAGTGGTCACCCTGGGACAGACCTCAGAACCAAGGCCCCCTCCCGAGGACCCGTCCCTACCCATGGACGTTGATGGAGCCAGTCCTCAAGCCAAGCGGGGGCCGAAGCGGAAACGCATGGCACCTGATAGTGACCTGTCTGCAAAGAGGCGTTCTCAGAGAGTTAGGAACACCGGTAAGAAGAAAGAAGAGACGATCAACTTTCAAGAGCTTCTTCAAAATTATCTGCCATCCAGCCTTCAAGTATCAGGTGAGAAAGAACTATTTAATCCTGACAACAGGTATATTTGCAAAGATCAGATAATGTTTGATTCAAATACGGTAGGACATGGTTCTGCTCACAAGCAGAATCTGTAACCCCTGCTTCTCACATTGGCTCAAAAAAGCTTCTTCTTGATGTTTCTGACTTGGGGAGAATTCTGAAGAGTTCCTATTTCATGTTATGTAGCCTAGAACATCACATCACTAGCCTTTGGACCTTGTTACATGTACATGTGTGCGTGATGAGTAGACGATGTTGCCATGTTTGTTCTAGATGATCTAACAGAGGAGGATGCCAGTAGTCAGGAGGCCAGCAGTCAGGAGGAGACAGTAGTCAGGACGGCACCTCTGGAGAGGATGGATCTCCTACAGAAACTGTCGGGCAACAGGAGCCCGACTTCTTATGTACTCACAGAGCAGGTATGTTTCTTCAGACATGGCACCTGACTGCATCAAGGAAACTACATTTAAATCTGATAGACATTCTAGAGGGAGTCCCGGAGCATAACTAATATGCAACAGATCTTTCAGGGTAGTTAACTCTGCCAGTCTGTAACACAAACACACTGTCCTGTCTCTGACACTTATGGGGAACCAGCTATTAGAGTACACATCTTGCACAAATAAGCATTTACATGTACAATGTAATATTATTAGTGTAACAGTTCTTACAGTACCATACCATTACACAGTATCATCACACAGCTCTAGCCAGTGCTGTATGATACTTTGTTAGAAGTGTTGTTTTTTTTGTATTTATCAGGTGGATGTTCTGGAGTTCCTGAGGAAGCACGAAGTGAACAGTGGTGTTCTCCACCTGATGAACATGTACATTGTGTCCATGGCACAGCGCTTCTACTCCAAGTGGTGGGTTTTACATGTAGCATACTATTACATACACTTTCATTCAAACAAAGAAATTTTACGTACAATAAAAAATGATGATAAAAATTTAAAAAGTCCTAGTCCAGAAGTGAAGATAATGACTTGTGTGTTTCCCCAGGCCCCAGGGACAGCCTGATGTGTTCCTGCAGGTGTTTGAGAGGGTGCGGAACCACATCGTTCTCCCCTCCGTTTTCTACCGTGACTACGACAATGACTGGATCCTGCAGAATGGCCTGGCTGCGCTGGTGTACGCAGAACTGAAGCTGGACCACTGGCTGGGAGTCAAGACTAAACCCTCCGTAGCACCCAGGAACTCACCAGGGTGGGCACTGATTGGTTGACACCTATGGTGGCGCTTTATTTTTTAATGAGTTTGCTCAGTGCAAGGCCACAAGGACTACTTCTGGGCATTGGCTGCTTTCTTTTTTGGTTCACTGTAGCAGCATCTCTTCTCTCTAAGTCAGAAACATCAGGCTTGGGCAATTGCAAGCTTGACTGAGTGATTCAATAGGCAAAGCAGAGGTTATGAAGGGTGCTGCAGAAATTCCCTATCCCAATTTAGGCCGGAATGGTTAGATCCACTCTCCAGAATCTTTATCTTACTTTGTGGCAGCCAAGAGGGAAGACATTCACCACAAAACCTTATTCTCTTGAGCCCTCTCAAGAGATACCGGTTTAGACTTTAAATATCTGAAAGCAGCCATGGCCGACTGACAGAATTGCTGCTCAGTGATGCAGGGACTTGCCTTGTCTCCCAGGGGTGCCAAATGATGAACATGGCACCTATATATTGTAATCTGCAGTTCATCTGTGAACTGCTAGGGTGCACTATTACTTCATATTGTTCACCTGGATGTCTAACCTTCATCAATGTAATAAGACCAGAGATTTGATATTTCTACCCGTGCAGGAAGAGCCTGGCTGCTGCCCCAGCCCACTTGGGTCCAGACTTCCCAGGGAAGCATTACGTGGCAGACATGTTCCACCTCACGGCCATGACGGCCTGTAGGGACATCCTGGAGGACGGCTGGCTGGAGTTCGCCATCAGAGGTAGCAACTGGGGTCCAGGCCTTTTTTCCAGGATGAAATATCCCTCCCATTTTTCAGCAATAAAGTTTTTCGTTTTGTGGAACGTTTTCTTCAATCTGTTAACTGTAATGAACTCAAGACGACTTGAAGCATTTTTATTCTAAGTAAAACTTTCCTGCAATAATGATGATGCACTGCCTTCTGCTGTTGTTGTAAAAATGTCCTACTGCTACATTCGCTCTTTCTCTTCATTTCACTCTGCTGTGTCACATTCTTAGCGAGCACCCTACAGTTCCATTGCAATACTCATTTCTGTACAACGTCATGTAGTTAGTGAAGACTTGTTGTTTGTGTGTGTTGGCAGTGTGCTCAAAGCTATAGTCACTGTTAGTGAAGTCTTGTTTTTGTATGTTACCAGTGTAATTTTGTCCAGGACTCTGGAGTATTTAGTGTACTGGGTGTATTTAGTGAAGCCATCTTCATGTGTTACCAGTGTACTGGGTGAAGGCACGTTTCCTGATGATCCAGAGTGAGATGGAACAGGCCCTGGATGCCTTCGACATCTGCACCAACCTGCTGGCCATGCCCAAACCTGTGAGTGCCAGCTGATTTAACATGACTTGTAGACAGAAACACAAGATGAAATATTCTAAAGCTGGTTTAAACTTGTAATTTCCAGCACACAATAAAGATGTACCTCAATTTATGACAGTCTTGGCCTATTACAATACAATTTGTGCGATGTCCATTGTTTCTGCCTGTGTAACTGATGGACAGTTTACCAAGCAAAGAAGAAGAGTTTGAAAACAATTCCTGTCATGACTATTATATACTGTTAACAGCTACAGCACTGTGTACCTACTGTACTTACTTATCCTCTTCATCCCTTGCGAGACATAAGGCAGTGACTTTTTTCCTCCATCTAGGTCTGTCCTTAGCCAACTTTCTTGCTGGTCGCCAGGATAATCACAGCACCATTAAGGGTTGAAGTAAAACTGGGTTTACATGTATGTTTCCTGCAGGGTTGTGAGGAGGGCCAGCATGCTCCTGTGGTGGTGTCCCTCCCCAACTGTCGTCAGGACCAGAGCATCACGAGGGACACGGTACAGAAACAACTGGAGTCTCTGCAGAGATGCAAGTCCCTGGAGGAGGTACAGAGGCTGTATGAAGCAGGTGGGAGACTAGCCAACTCTAGAGGGAGATGGAGTGTTTGTGCATCAGCGTAGTGTATTTATGTCTGCCTACATTTGACATTCAAAACAAATTTCAATTTCAGAAAAGCAATCTGACAAGGAAGCTCTGATAGTGGACCACTTGACCATACATTTAATGCTGATGCCTTAATTTTTTTCTTTTATTTGAGTGTAGGAATCTTTAAAATCCATAATTCTACACAATGTACAATGTGCATCAGTGGTCAGAATGGTTGTTTCAAGACTTTTCCTAGTGAACCAGCTGAAATGATTATTACCACATTTACCAGTAGCATAATTGCCTATTTTCAGCACTATTTTGTTCCAGGCCAAACCTAACCTGTTTGTGTAACTTCGGGTTAATTGTGTGTGTTTTGCAGGAAGTTACCAGCTTGTTGTGGAGGTTCTCCTGCCCACCCTGAAACAGGCTCCATATAAGGAGGGGAAAGTTGTGGAGGGGGTGACAGAGCGCCCATCACAGCTGCTCTTACTGCAGGTCTGTCTTCAACCCTGTCATAATATCAGGAAGATAAGTCATGGAAAGTAGAGAAGTTCACTCAGTTCCACCCACTCTCCAGTTTATTGTCTGCTGTTCCCAGTCCCATAGAGGTTAGACATGCTTGCATGCAGTTGTCAAGGCTTGATGCAGCTCACCACATACCTCTGTCATGTGAGTTTACATTGTGTAAGTTGAGGAGATAAAACAGGAAACATCAAGATCCAAAATCCATTTTTACCAAAAGTCTGCATCGTAGCAAGTTCCATACAAAATGTAGCTGCCTTGGTAGTGAATTTCACACTCGAAATCCTGATACTGTAATCAGTTTTTTCATGAGGACTGAAGGATACAAGTCAAACCTCGGCCTTTGAAATCAGTTTATCAGTAAAGAAACTAGCCAATTGTTTACAAGTGTACCTGACTCAAGTGTTGAGTTCACGTTGTACTGTTATCATCCTAGGAATCTCTACTGAGGCTGTCCAACTATGAGCAGTGCCTGGTGTGTGGTGAGGAGTCAGTACAAGAGGCTGTGCAGCAGTGGCAGGCAGAGTACAGCAGCTCCAGCAAGGAGCAGTGGGGCAGCATGCTGACGCAGCTGTTCACTGGGCTGGACAGGTAAGGAACAATGGGGCAGCATGCTGACGCAGCTGTTCACTGGGCTGGACAGGTAAGGAATAATGGGGCAGCATGCTGACACAGCTGTTCACTGGGCTGGACAGGTAAGGAACAATGGGGCAGCAAGCTGACGCAGCTGTTCACTGGGCTGGACAGGTAAGGAGCAATGGGGCAGCATGCTGACACAGCTGTTCACTGGGCTGGACAGGTAAGGAAGAATGGGGCAGCATGCTGACGCAGCTGTTCACTGGGCTGGACAGGTAAGGAATAATGGGGCAGCATGCTGTGGTGTAATGGAAAACCTTTCATACATGTACATCATGTATATCCTTGTAAACAGTCTGTACTGGTGCAGTGGCCTAGGGGTAGAGTGTTTACCTTGCATTCAGGGGTTCAAAGGCCTGGCTGGCTTGAAAAATGGTGTACACTGTTTCACTGCTTTCTCTGCTTAGCACTTGAAGCAGTGTGGACTACAATCTTACTGTAGTTGCCATGAGCTACAGAAATTGAGATGGGCAATTGGAATGTTTCAACTTCCATGTAAGATTACTGACAGAAATGTCTGTTGCAGGGCCATGTCCAAGGAGAAGGACGTCATCAAGATCCTGCCCTCCCACCGACTGGCCCGCCTCACCCAGAACCTCATCAAGGTCATCGACCTGGTCATGGCCACGGCAGAGGGATCTGAACCCACAACCTCCACCGTCCTGCCCTGGATCCTACTCTACAGGCTCATCAAGTATCAGGTAAGGCTGTCCTGATGTCATCAGTACCAGGGGTTTGAAATACCACCTGCATATGCAGATTGGTGCAGGTAAAATTGCAGCTGTGCAGGTGTTTCTGATGTCTACCTGCACCTGGTGTGCACCAGCCAATGTATTGGGTTTATAGATACATGTAGGTGTGGATTTGGTTTCTGAACAATTTCTAGTATGATCCAAACTTCCTGGGTGGTACAGGTGAATTTTGTCTAGTGCAGGTAATTTTCAGTGTAACCTGCCCCAGTGCAGGTATGCTGAAAAAATGTCGAGCCCTGAGTACACAGGTTGAAAAGAAAATCTACTTCTCTTATGAAGCTGTGTGATCAACATGGTTGAAACCAATCAGTTCCTTCCATTCCAAGCTTGTGCTTACCAACTCCATATATGGAACCGGTATGTTACACCACGTGGCAATTAACAAGAAGTGCTGCTCTGGAGAGTCCACTCAAGGAAGTATACTTCAAGAATGGACTCATAAATAAACTTCACCTGTCAGTGCATCCTTAGCAATTACTGATCAGAGCTTGGCATCACAGTTCTCAAGTAGCTAGAATTACTAGAGGTACTATTCAAACAGGCATCAGTAAGTTAATTATCAGCCTGCCACCTGCACTCAATTAGTAGGAAAAGTTGAAGCATAGGAAGTCTTCACATGAAAAGGCTTACTACTGTAATTGTAATGCTTCACAGTAATTGCATTTCATAATGATGACCTTGATAATAATTATAGCATATAAGAATTCTCTATTACACAAGAGAACTCTTATATTGTAAACTCTAAAACCTGATGAATCTATTTTTGGAACATAATAATCACAGTTACAGTACAGAAGGTTCTTGAATACAGAATAAAGAATCAATGTGAAGTCAATCTTGGTTTTAGTATATTTTTTTTATGTATTTACACAATATAAAGCACAATTCTACTGTACAAGTCCTAAGATTTGATAAGGCAGGGATCCAAATACAACCTGCACATGCAAATAAATTTGGAGCTGCACCTAACCTGCACCAGTCCATGTACTTGTAAGGTTTTGCAAAGAGGTACATGTACATGTAAGCTTAGTTGATGAGTTTCTGTGATCATGCTGTTTCTGTATCTGTATCGGTATAGTCAGTATAACCACCCTTTGGCGTAACACACCAGCTTCAATGTTTGACTCCAGGAGGAGCACATCAAGTCCCTTCAGGATGAAACAGGCAGTGTGGCCATGGAGGTGGACGTACCATTGTCAGTACAGGAGGAGGGGGGAAAACAGGTGGATGCTGCTGCCGGGGATGGAGCCAAACAACAGAGCATGCTGCCGTCATCCCTCATGCTGCTCAACACCTCACACGAATACCTGGGCAGGTGAGACAGCAAAGACAGCAGTGCCTGACAACTTCTGTTTGTAAAATACTGTCAAACTTGCCCAACTGACCACCGCTATAAGCCGGCCATCTGGCCATAACGCTGCTTTTTTCTTGGTCCTAATTTATTTCCCCATAGACGTAAGCATTAAGGGACTTGTCTAATCCAACCACTTGTCCTGAGTGCAACCATATGGGTACTATTTGGGACCACACATGGCCCAATCTCTGCCTATGACAACCTCATCATTTTCAAGTTTGTGGCAGAAAACTATTTTGATGATGACTCTAGCAGTTTGCCAGTGATTTCGACAGCATGACAGTCTTTCCATAATTTTCAATGGTGCCGGCTGGGTCTCTTTAGGTCAATGGGGCAGCCTATTGTGAAATGGGTGGAAATTTTGCTGTGGTTTTCTTGTTATAAGAACACCACTTGTCTAAGATGACCATCTGCCATTGAACATCATTTAGCTCTTGTTAAACAAGTGGTTGTGAATAAAGAACTCGGTTACTCAATCATTCACCAACCTGATGAAATTATTAATGGTAATACAAGATACTGTAGATACATGTATGTTAGTATATTGAAGAGAAGTGTTTTTCTGCACTGATCATGTCCACAGGAGGTCCTGGTGTTGTAACAGCAATGGTCTGCTTCTGAAGTTCTACGTGACAGTTCTGAATGCAGAGCTGAAAGGTCTGGCTGAGAAGAGCAACGCCAAGTCTCTGAAGGAGCACCTGGAGATGTCCCTGGAACAGTGCTACTACTGCCTGTACGGACACCCTAACAAGAAGGCCAAAGCACGCCATCTTATGGAACATGAGTCCCCACAGGTACATCACAAATGCCTCTTCATGTTTTGCATTTTTGTTCCTTTATACAGCCATATTTTCCCCTTTTCTTGCCCCTGACTCTGATGTATTCTCACTTTTAGTATCACTTTCCTCCTCATTCCTCTTCCCGTATCTATTTCCTTTATTATTCCAAATTTTCTCTACATTATTTGGTTACACAATTTCCTTTGTCTTGTTTTACTTGCTCTGTTTCTTCTGCCTCTCCTTCTGAATCACTGAGTTTCTTTTCTCCCTCACATCTTCAGGTGCCTTTGACCTGGGAGGATGTAGAGCCTATGTTCGAGTTCTTCAAACCCAAGGTCATCCCGGAGTTTGACAGCTACAAGACCAGCACGGTGTCTGCCGAGCTGGAACACCTGCTGAGACGCATCGTGGCGCTGGTTCCGACAGATCCCAACCCCGCCAACACGACAGAGTCGGTGGTGGCGTATATCGAGGGTCAGAAGGACGACCCTCCAGCCATCCCCAGTGATAGACCCATCACTCTCCCTGTGGTCAGGGAACTCTTCTATCTACTCGCAGACTACTACTTCAAAAACAAGGAGTCCAGGTTGGCTATGTTTTCACAATTTCTTTTTCTTCTTCTTCAGCAGATACCTAAGGTCAATGATGTGGAAAGATGTCTGTCACCATGGTAACTGGTGCCTAGGATACCCTGTGGTGTTGGGTTACATCATGTGGCAGGACAGTTGGAGGGGCTTGTGTTTGAGTAAGAATAAACAGAGTAGTACTTAGTAGTTTGTTAAGCTAGACGGCCCCTTCTTACAGTCTGCATTGCATAATTTAATTCACAAATGTTACCTTATTAAGCTTATGTTGTCTTACTTTTCGACATCCTTATTACAGCAAAGCCATCAAGTTCTACCTGCAGGACATCTGTGTGTGTCCTGACCGTCTGGACTCCTGGGCAGGCATGGCGCTGGCACGGAGCAGCCGCATCGAACAGAAACTCAACTCACAGGAACTCAAGAACGAAGGGCCCATCCACAAACACTCCATCGCTGCACTAAGGTACTGAGTGTGTCAATACAAGATACAAGCAATTGCTGTTTTTGTTTACATCATAGGCATGCAAATTAGTTGAAGACAATGCAAATTATTGGTAGGAAAATCAGCCAACTGTCACCCGTTTTTGCCTACCACTCATTGGCCGTGATGTCAAGGGGATCGCTTGTATGGTACCAGTACTGACATTTGGTAAACTATGAACGCTGTTACTTTCCCTACGTAAGGTTTAAAAGTTACTAACAGGGCCAGCAACAGATGAACCCTACATCTACATGTACCTGTAATCTCAAAGCAGATATTGGACAGAAATTGTAAAAGTTTTCTGACCAGCCATTTTTTCTAACAGTATGCTGTTCAGAAAACTACAATTTCCACCCTACAACTGCTTGGAGATAACCTACAACACACATGCAAATCTTTACTACCACCATCCTTTCTATCCAAGGTGTTTCAAGCGAGCCCTCCAGTTGGACAACTCCAATGTGTCCCTGTGGATCGAGTACGGGTCCCTGGCCTACTGGCTCCACTCACACGCCTCGCGACAGCTCAAACAGCGGAAGGAGATCACGCTGGCGCCCGAGATTGTCCAGCAGATGGTCAGCAAGAAGGCGGAGATGCTGTCCATGAGCGAGTACTGCTTCAGTCAGGTCAGGTCTATTTTCCTGCAGGGCTCTAAATACTCTTTCTCTGCATACCTGCACTGGTGTAGGTAATATTGAAAATTGCCTGCAGCGGACATACATGTATATACTTTTAACAAATCTGTTGTTTCAGGGGGGTTGCATTTATGTCTTCTGGTTTCAATGTGTAGTTTGTGGCAGCTGATTTGCCGCTAGACATCTGTCTAGAGATTAGCAGCTCATCTGCACTAGTTTCACATGTATGACAGCAGTCCTGTGCAATTTCTTGTTAATACTAGTATTTAGTTTTACATGTATGACAGCAGTCCTGTGCATTTTCTTGTCTTGACAGCACTAGTTTTACATGTATGACAGCAGTCCTGTGCAATTTCTTGTCAATATTTAGGTCATTGTAATCCAACTTAAAAAGCTGACTGATTCTTTTCAGGCCAATAAGATAGAAGGAGATGGTGAGGAGGAGGAGTGGCTTCATCACTACATGTTGGGGAAGGTGGCGGAGAAGCGAGGCAACCCTCCGCAGGTCTACCTGGAACACTACCGGCTGGCGGCCGTCTACCTACACGAGGACGAGGCCCGCTATCCTCGGAAGATCCACTACCACAACCCGCCCGACCTGGCCATGGAGGCACTGGAGGTCTTCTTCCGCATCCACGCCTCCATCATCAAGTACATCCTGAAGGAACCAAGTAATCCTGACTACGACCTGCTGGAGAAATACATCAAGGTTTGACTTGTGAATCTTGTAACTGTCAGATGTACAGTACATGTACTGTACTATGTTGTACTTTTGTCTTGACAACTGTCCTTGCACACTTCTTGACAAAGGAATGTCCTAGATTTTTAAAATGTATGAGAATGAATATGATTGGTGTAAGTTGTGTTAATCCATCTGTGCCTTTAGGAAGCAGCAGAGAGCCCGTTTGCTCTGGGTAAAGAAAAGAGGGAGCGACAGAGAGACCGGGAGAGTGTGGGGAGTGCAGCAGAGTCCTCCAGTCAGGATGGCCAGGACTCATCATCCTTATCTAAAGGTACGGCTGGCTTACATCCAGCTTCAATCTATGGTCTTGCAGCAAGTGTAATAAAAAGAAGGGTTTACAGAGATTAAAGCAGTAGCTTTAATTTCCTGTTGATTGAAAAAAGTGCTCAAGGGTGGTTGCAGTCAAGCTCATTTACATCTATATACTTGCTGGTGTCATAAAAGGAGTGTTTAGACAGATTAAAGCAGCAGTGTTTTCCCACTGATTGGTAGGTGAAGTTCTCAAGGGATTTTGACGTCCATCTAGTTCAAATTTAGCTTTTCATTGCAAATGTGATCAAGGAAGTTTATGAAGATTAAAGCGCTGTGTGCCAATCACGTTGATTGGTACATGAATACGTTGGAAAAAGTGATCAAGAGTTGGTCATTAAAGAAATGTTTTTAAAGACTGAAGCAGTAGTTCCCTGTAGATTGGTAGGAAAAAGTTCTCTTTTAATTGGTTAAGTTTGACTACTACAAATCTAGGTTCTTTGTTGTTGCAAGTGTAATAAAAGAAAATTAATGCACTAGACTAGTGCTTTACTGTCATTCGGTAAGTATAACTGCACAAGAATTGGTGAAACATTCAAACTACATGTATGTTGATGTAAATGTAATTGAAGAAGAGTTGACCTTGGGAGTTATGCGGTCAGATCTTGGGTGTAGTCAGTAACCATTTCCCCCCCCCCCAAGGATCTGCTTGGAGATTAAGCTTACTATTAGAAGTAATTTATAAGCACAATAAATTGGTGTGCTTTTAAAATTTTAAACTAAGTAGGAAGTGGTAGGAAAAAAAGTCCCAAAGAGAAAAGAAAAATGCATGATGTTGTACGTTATGTTGCCCAACAGTAACGATGGCTACGTGTAGCACAACCCCAGGAAGCACCCCTACCTCTCCCACATACACCGCCACTCCAGTCGACCACGACTACCTCAAGCACAGGGACATTCGACGCTTCGCAAAGATCGGTGAAGCCAAGGTGGCCCAGGACTCGGCAGGCTTGGTGCAGGTACCGGGGACTGTAGCTGCCAGTGTGGTCACCACATCCACTGTGTTCACTCTGTCTTCTACCACAGTGGTGGTCTCTTCAGCTACAGGTGATATACAAACCAACATTGCTATCTATAAGTATCTTTAATGATATATGACAATAAGTAACATTTACACTGAATTGTATAGATTTTAGTTGATAGTTCAGTTCTAACCAACTGCTGCACACCCCTGTGTCAGGGACCCCGGCAGGACATATAATTTAAGACTGGATACTACTACATGTACTACTAATTGTACACTATCGAGTATGTATTTTTATATTTACATTAATTATGACATCTCCTTCCATGTATTGGAAGCAATGTTGTGGAAGACATTGCACAGAACATATACATGTACTGTCAAACCTGTACGACTGACCACTTGTGCATAAAGACCTAAAAACCATCAGGTCATTACATGTATTTTCACATTGAACCTTGAAGCATTGATATTGGGGATTCTGTCTATTGTCTACTATGACCATTTTCTTCAAGTCCAAGTTGATTGGTTACTAAGTGTGGACAGGTTTGACTGTACACATCACTCTCTTTACCAACGAAGTGACTTACTGGAGGTGTCTCCCATGTATCAAAGCTCTGCTCAGAAGTATGGCTGAAAAGCATACGGCAGAGTCTACCCCGGAGGGCAGCCGGTCTGTCGTGGCAGCCCTACAAATAACCACAACAGACGATAGTGTCCTAACTGCACAGCAAAGTGCTGGTCCTTCTGACGAGTTCGGTGCACCTTTACAGGCAGACCAAGAAGGTGGTCGGGATTTTCTGTCAGTAGAAAGCCTCCAGTAGAAAGCTTTCACTGTCACAACTCTTCCGACTAGCATGTCTTGGCTGAAAGCACTCCTAGAAATGTATCTCAATTAGGTGTAGTAAGTTGTCATGAATATGGTTTGTTGAAAATCTATGCTGCTTTTTCACATGCACATGCATGGCATCAGACTCATGACCAGGGTTTGCTAGCAAGCTATTGGCATCTGATAGAAGCACTATTTTGCACACTCTCCTTTTCTGCAGGCTAGAGAATTGACAACACTCACTGTTGCTGCACCCTCACACTTGAGTCCCTTGCTTTGCATGTAGTTACATCACTGTTGTCCCTTCTGCACTTTGCACCTAGAAAAGGCCTGAAAGGGGAGGACTTACCAGCATTTGATAACAATTTCTATCCCTTTTGCCTCAATAGGTGATATGCCTACTGCAGACAAAGACCAACAGCAAACAACACCACAAGAAACAGAGGTGTTAACTGACACTCCAGTCAACCCTGCAGATCCATCTAAACCACCTGGAGATGGACAGACTGAAGGACACGTTATCACTGATCCAGTGATGCAGACTTCACCTACTGAAGGAAAGACTATCACTGATACTGTGGTCCAACCTACACCAGTGTTAGAGTCAGCCACTACAAGCAAAGCTGAGAAACAGGAAGAAGAAAAGGGGGTGTCACCAGAGGGGCTCAGCAGCAAGAAAGAGAAGGACAATGAGGAAGCGAAGGAAGCAGTGATGACCCAACCTTCAACACCTGTCAGTGATGTTGGTGACGTTTGTGTCAGTGAGGAAGAAAAAGGAACTCCAACACTTGACAGCAAAGAAGAACTTGTACCTGACCCCAAAGAGGAGGTGGAGAAAGTTGTCAAGACAGACGAAGAGAAAGTTAAGAAAAGTGAAACAGTTACACCTGACACAGATACTCATGAAAAGGTGTCAGAATCTGATGTACAGAAAGCAATGGTAGACAAGGGAGATGAGAAACTAATGACTGAAGTTAAAGAAAACGCAGATCACCAAACAGAAGAAACACCTGTGTCTGTGTCTAACACCAATGAGAAAGTTGTGGAGGAATTGGCCCCTGGCACAGAAGTGAGCACAAAGAAGGATGAAGACAAGGAGAAGGCAGAGAACCAGGAGGAACCAATGGAAGTGGAGACTGCAGGGAAGACAGTACAGGAGACATCTGAAACTTCATCTAGTGTTCCACAAGACAAGAGTGAGGAGAAAGAAGAAGCAGCAAGCAAGGAAGAGGGCAAGAAGGAAGACACAAAACCAGGTATATTTGTAGCTCACATATTAGACTTGACCAGGTATTTTTGTAGTTCAGATATTAGACTTGACATGTTTTGTATTTCCTATTTATGTAATTCCTCTCTAACACATATGTCGTGATGTCCACATACATTCTTTTCTAATTGCCTTTAATAAAATGATGTCCACATATGTTTATAATTTTTTCCAGCTCCCCCTGTAGACATTGAGACCCGTAGGAAGAACCTGGTGGACCTGTGTGTCCAAGGACTTCACCTGTGTCTGCACAGATTTCCTCAGCACTACAAGTCCATCTACAGACTCTGCCACCTCTACTTCCACTCACCCTTCCACAAGTAAGCATCTGTCTGGAGGAAAATTCACTTTAAACTTTAAGTTGTTTTAATCTTACATTTGTTTCTATGCTTCAGAGCTCAGTAAACATAAGGCAAGAAAACCATTTAAAGTCTCTAATTAAGTATTATTTGATAAGATTCTTGTCTGTTCACCCATTTTTTAATGTTGATAAATAAGAAATTGGAAGAAAAGTTTTATTAAGCAGTAATTTTAGACTTGAAGAAAGATTTCAGTCTTCAGCAGCTACATGTACAAGCAGTTCTTTCCATAGCTACACATGTACATGTACACAAGGATACATACATTGTACAGTTGTACATTGTAAACATGTCCATGGATGTTTTTTTTTTTACTGGTGAGGTCACTGATGATAGATCACACTTGCCTATACGGATTTAATTGTTGTTGAATATCAGTGAATGTTAACCTAGATCAGCTATCATTAATAAGTGTGGTATTTCCTAGGTAGTGTGTACACAATTCTAATTTTCCTCATCCCTGCAGGAACTTGCCGTGGGGTCGTGACCTGATCCTGGGTCCGAAGCAGGGCCACTGGAAGGAGCTGTCCCACATGCCTGCCCACAGCCTGTTCCACGAGAGGAACAAGACCAACCTCTTCAACGGCATCTGGCGCATCCCCGTGGACGAGATAGACCGGCCCGGCAGCTTCGCCTCACACATGGGCCGGTGTGTCTCACTCCTGCTGGAGGTGCTACGGCAGCTCAACGATAGCAACACACTGTTTCAGGTACGGGGAGCTCCGTGGTAAAATCTCAGCCAGGCCGATGATTGCTCACACAATCTTTTAGTCTTTATATGAAATCACACGGTCATTGATCCCTAATGATGTTCTTTTCCAGCTTGCCACCCAGCTTCATCGTACCCCTGATCAGGGCAAGAAGTACCTACGTGACGTGGATCGCACCATGCTCGCCAAGCAGGCCTACAAGTACTCCTTGGAGACTCTGCAGGACGTTGTCTTAAAGTGTTGTAGTACAGCGGAAGAAATGGACAGCTCTCAACTGTTGAAACTTGTCCTGGACTGTTGGAAAGTCTTCCAGCATGGACAGAGGACAGGCAGCAACATGGAGGTGGAGAGTAACATCCTCGCTGATGCGTACACGCTCTACCGAGTGGACGACATGGAGCCGGAACCAAGCCCGCTGGAACAGGCCATCAGCTACTGTCAGAACTACCAGCAGAAGCAGCGGCTGCCGCAGACACCTACGCACGAGAAACGGGAGAGCAGTTCCACGCCCACCACACCCAGCAGCGGCGTACAGATGGCACTGACGTTCTCTTCTCCCCCTGCCTCCACCCCTCCTGCCTCTGTTCACATGGGGACACCCAAGACTGACGCCTCTCCAGTCAGCACTACAGGTCAGCTGCAGCGTAGCCAGCCTGCACCAAGCCAGGCCCAGTCTGCACCAACACAACAAGCGCAGCCTTCCCCCAAACCAGTCAGTAACCCCTCCCAGCCTCTGGCACCCTCCAGTAGCAGTGCCAGACCTCAACCCTCAGTTACAACAACAACATCATCATCATCACCAAAGAGCTTGCCATGGCAACCTGCAGTCACCACAGCACAGGAGAGGAGGGAGAATAAAGACCCTATGGCTACCACCACACACACCCCTGAACCTTCCACTCCGCAGAAATCAACAGCCTCACCAATGGGTGTACCAACCATCACTGTCACCCCTTCAGGATCATCCTCCTCCCTGTACAAAAGTGGAGCCTATGAGAAAACCACGGAGGTAGCCCGGAGTTCTACCACCACGCAGCAGAGCTATCCTAGTACCAGCTTTTACTCCAAGCCAGGGACCAGTGGGTTAACCAAGCACAGACCCAGGTCAGGGTCCATCTCTGAGGAGACCAAACAGAGACTGAAGACAGCGATCCTAACCCAGCAGTCAGCAGCTAACGTTCACCACACGCCGCTCCCAGAGACAGACTCTCAGAGTGATGTGGAGTACATAGAGATCGACAGCAGTCAGGAGGAGTCCTCTCAGGATAGTATAGTGTAGGCACAAAGACACTTACCGGTAATGTCCAATATACATGTACCGGTACATGTATATATATTGTACCGATCCTGTTGTGTTGTTTAGGACATGTCTAACAACACAGTGACCTGTCTCTCTTACATTACAATGTATGTCCTATGTTCTAATAAAGCAGACACTAGAATTTGATGCAGTGTGATGATGTTGTTTATTCACAGAATGAATTAAGAACAGGTTGGCTAGTAATGGAATGACAAATCTAACCACAATGTACATGTAGATGAAATATCTAGCATATATAGGCCCAAATATTTATTTACCAAAACGTTTAAAAGTGGGTCCTTATGACAAAGAATCATGTCCCTAGCGACTTCAACTCCCGTGTTGTTTCCTCCATGATGTCGAGGAACATCCTGGCGTGATGTGGCTGGAAGATGAGAGCCGGTCGGACTCGGAGAGACTTCACCCCACAGCCTGCACCCTGCACACCTGACAATCGTACAGACATTCAACCAGTGTAAAATATCACTTAGATTTTAAGCAACATTCAGCTTAAATAGTAGGCTGCAGTGACTGTTGATCTAAGATGGCATTGGTACCATTAGGATAGTAGGGAAGTGTGGCTTATTATGCAAGACTTAGTATACCTTTGTTCCTAAGTGTGGCTACAGCTCTGTCTCTGGTCAAAGTGTCTGGGAAGTCTACTGCACAGAAGGCCCCTCGTCCACGAGCATTTGAGAGAATGTCAGCATGTTTGTCCTGAGAGTGCAATGATTTTATTATCAGTTTTTATGATAGCAGCTTTCCCATAACCTTTTTTTCTTACTGCTGGCAATTCACTTAATTTTTGCTGCCAAAGTTTTTAATCCCAAAGCTTGTAACAAAATTTAATATATTTCATTTAAATTTGTATGTTTCAGCATATGCCATTATCATGGGTCTTTCAATATCCTTTAACATATTAATGGATAATTCAAATGAATATGCTACTAGACTAAAGTATAGGAGCTATGTGGCTTGGCTATGGCTCGCCTGGCTACAAAGCCAAGCACACCAGGTCATCCCAACTCATCTCAATTAGTAGCTACAGTACTGTTAAGTCTTTTCAAAAGTCATTTTACAAGGATATTACCTAACACATCCATGGCATATAATGTGGGATGACCAGACATGATTATGGAACTTCTCGTGTTTACCTGTAGTTTCTCCAGTCCTTGCAAGATGACCTGTCCTGTCTCTGTCATGTTGTCCAACAGCCGATCTTTGTGAATCACATTTAGCACTGCTTCCATAATCACCAGCTTGGCAGGGTCACCCAGCCATGTGTTCATGATCCGGAAGGGCTGGTTTACACAAAGAGTAAGAAATACTGCTTTCCTAGTACACCACACTCACCAGCTACAGTATCTTCAATGCACACATGTATATTACACAAGTCATGTATTTATGCTCTTGTACATGTATCATGTATAAAAATAACCTACACCAGAACTGCATTGGATTATACTAAAAGTAGATTTTATGGATCAACTAGAAACTGTCAAGAAACCATTTGTATTCTTAATTTAGTATTTTGTACAATACAAAAATTCACAGACACTTGTGTACCAAAATTTACACAGGGATGGTGCAGGTAGACATCAGAAATACCTGCCAAACTCCAATTTAACCTGAATATGCAGGTATTTCCAGCCATGCAAAACTAATGTCCTATAGGTGAACTCACCCCCTTTGGCCTGAACTCCTCCTTGAAGTACAACCCTCCGATCACCATCTTCTTGGAGAAGGTGACGATGTCAGGAGACTCCTCCAGTCCCCAGTACTCGTGTGCCCACATCTTCCCAGTCAGACCTGCTCCAGTCTGTACCTCATCTACAACAAATGCTGACCCGTTCTGTGGTGAAAATCAAACAGTAAAGGCAACAGAACATCAGAAACTTAAGAAGAACGCGAATTAATATGTTAGCAGTAATATCGTCACTCCATGATTGGCTTGTTCAGCCACGATGCAAAGAAGATGCCGGGACCTCCGAGACCAAACCCATCATCTACTGAGATGGCAGGAGGCCAATGATGAGTAATGGAGCAGTAGCTTGGTGAAAATGTGTCTGAAGGAACATTGCAAGTCTCTTAGTCTGTATTTTCCACCAGCATGAGTTCTCAGAATCGACTTTTAGGCAATGAAAATTTCTCAGATCTTGAGCATGTAGCTACTGGTAGCAGTGCTACATGTACAGAGAGATGTACTGAGTGAGAAATGTACATTAAAGCAACACACACATGGCCATTAAACCCAATCATAAAGACTTGCCTCCTTTGCTAGTTTCCGTAGCTGTCTGAAGAAATTGTTTGAGGCATGGCGGTCCCCGCCTTCAGACTGAATGGGCTCCACCACCACCCCAGCTACTGGTCGACCCTTGTTCTTGTACTCTTGCATCAACTGAAACACCTGAAAAATACACAGATTGATAAAAATGTGTCAAGCAAGAAAAAACTTTCTCTTCTCATTACCCGGGCTTTCATTTTGCCCACTGCCTTCGATGTGGCTGAATTCACTGAACTTTGATAAATGATGATAATAGGCTTACTGCCCAGAGCTTCACGGTTGCATGAACCGTCAGTAGCAAAAAGGTCACAGAAACTGGTGCAAATTGGATAATGGCTAAATCTGAAAGGGTCGATTTATTGCTCTGTGCTGGGTAATGTTCTTTTTTTGCACTGTTGTATGGGACAACCTTAATCACTGTCATGAAGAAGAGTTGAAGGATTTAATTAGTATTCACCTGGAGCACCCCCATCTATAAATTAGGTACTAGTATCAGATTTCAATTAGCATCAAATGTCATCTGGTCATCTTGAGGTCACTTTTACATGTAGTTGAAAATCACTACATGTACATGCAGACAGGGTCATGCATTATATTACATATTAACATATTAGCTGTGCCACAGAAGACACTGCAGTTATTTTTCTCTCTCTTTGTATCCACCCACTTTGAATTGGCAGCATAAAGATTATATACAATGTGCCACAGGTTGTGCTTTGGTATTCCTTGCCAGGGTTTGAATTGATCTCATGCCACTCTACCCACACTGTAAATGAGATAAAATAGGCCGTGTCTATACGGAACCACCCAAGGCGCGATTCGGGTAACTCACATTCCTCACATCTGGTCCACGTGCCACACACACCTGTGAAACCGTGTCCGAACATAATGCTCTTGTGCTACATTTATTGCTGTTTGATGATAACACGCAAGGCGGCGTGTTATTAATGTCAGATGTCAACGACATGATTGCCGATGCCCCCCTCCCAGCCTATCTCGGCCGAATGCCGACGTGGTCCCGCCAGAGGCGGTGAAGCTCGCCCTAGAACGGACACATTATTTGACCATTACTGCTCTGTAAGTTGCTGCCACGTAAAAGTTGGTATTGCATATAAAAAAAGAAATATCACTCCGTAATCCATGACCAGGCGAAGTCACATTGAAATCACATTGCGTTCAGACGCAAATCGCGATGCGGGGAAACCGATTCGAAACCACCTCAAGAAGTGGCTCCAGACGAAGGCGCTTTCAATGTGATTTCGGACCGTTCAGACGGAGCCACTTGAAACCGGCTTCGGGGTAAACCACATGTAAACCGCCTTGGGTGGTTCCGTATAGACAGGGTCATAGTTCCCTTCTGTAAGACAGTAATTTAATTTCTTTTTAGTCAGATTTTAATTTCTTTTTTTTTTCAAATATGAAAAAAAAACTGAAGCAGGTCAATTTGACAACCAAGAAATTAAATTGGTGTGGTCTGAGTTTTTGTGGCTGTCCTGCACATTTACAAGCTTTAAGTTCGAATTCACCTTGTCCAGACATCTCTCCTCCTCCTGTCTGTTCTCCTGTGTGTTCACATCTAGCGGGTACTTGGTGGCAGGAAACGGTGCACTGGGCCAGTCCAGGGCCGGCACATCCACCTTGTGGAGTGGTGCTGCATGTGAGCTACTAGAGCAGCCTGCAAGTACACATTGTCAAACTCTTCATGGGTACAGACATGTTTTTTTAATAAGCCGTTTTTTTATAAGCCATGTTTTATAGGAAGCCTCTAGGAATGTGGCACAACAGGACAGTT